CAATGTCACTGTTTTCCAGGGACAGTCTCAGGTTTACAGAAACCATCACAGTTTTTGATTTCTTCCCAGAATGTCCTGCTTTTCCATAGGACATCTCTATTTTCATCAGAGATATGTTGGAGGGTATGGAGTAGGATGTCCCCGGTTTCATCGGAGAAATGTTGGAGGGTATGGGATAGATAGAGAGATAGTGTAAGAAGACGCAGAAACGTGTGCTATTTTAAACCAAAAATCAACATTTTATTTAGAATATCCATATACCAAAAATAAAATTAAAATCAAAAATTTCCTTTGTGTAGTGAAATATCAATATTTTGAAAATGGTAAAATAAAGCTGTTCCTAGTCATTATCTCATAGATATTTTACAGAACTACTTGAATCTGAATGTACATCTAGCTCAAGCGTTAAGACACTTAAGAGCCTAAAGCACTGAACGGCTTCGGAGAAAGCAGACGAGTGAGTGAGAACAAGAAGGCTTACATGTGGCAACCCACATAACAAATAGAACAGCCTTTGCCAGCCCAGCACGCTCCAGATGTTTTGGACGACAACAGCAGTGCAAACATCCGGAGGCACTAGGTTGGCAAAGGCACTAGGTTGGCATTGCAGGGAGGACATGGGGGTCAATGGCTCCATATTTGATACATGGGAAGAACAACTCCAGACAAAATTAAACACTTGGGATACTGGTGGCATCTCATGCCTGGAAATGGACATGCTGAGGCACTGGGACTCCAGCCTACCCAGAATGTCTCAGTCCAGGCATCAGCAGAACTATGGTGGTGTTCCATACAGCACCTCAACAGCTCAGCTGCAGCTCAGACAGACTCTGTTGCACAAGTATGGGAAGCAGCAAATGTTGCTGTATGGAATGACAAGTGAGAGGAGATCATTTCATCTCTTCCCAGTTGCCCATGGATAACTTTAGCTGCTTTGGTACAAAATATTATCTGTGCTGCAATAGCTAAAGCTGATCCAAAGGGCTGGTCGGAAGTAGCCTCCCTCAGCAAAGCTGATGGAATTAAGCTAAGACAAATAGCTTCTGCTGATTTTGCTAGGTGGTTTAAATTGCTTTAGCAAGGAACACAACATACTACTTGTTTTGACAACAGAATCAAATATACATACATGGACTTTGCAACTTTGAGAGTTAGTTTGCAAAAGCAAAGCGTTCAACAACATGACTTGGCTTCCTGTAAATCTCTGAGATGGATTTGATTGTGGAATTGGAAAAAAATAATAATTACTAGCGTTTTTATTTTAATGCCCTGGGTGTTTTTGTGTGTGTTTTTTGAGCCTTTGAAATGCAATGTGTCTATTTTTAAAAACATCACAGCAACCTATTACAGCACAACCAAGCAGGTCTACTCAGAAGTATATCCCATTGAATTCAATGGGACTTCCTCCTAGGTGTGCATATAGCATTGCCTCCTTAGAGAAACTGTTGCTGAGTTTGCTGGACTTTGTACTGACTATTTCATGCGCCCATAACTAGACTCAGGGATCCAGTTTTATCTAGTTGTGCTTTGTCACCTGTGACACCTATGGCCCTGGCTGAAGAGACACCCCCAACCTTACTGGGCATGTTGATCAAGTTCAAGGGGGCACTGGTAAGAATTGTGCAGCATATCAGCATCCAGATGTGCTTCAACATCAGCTTCCTGTGTGGAAGGGGAGAGCCCTTAATAGATCGGGGCAACCTTCTATAACAAAAAAGGATGGAGAGAAATGGAGTTGCAGTCTTAATTATGCTATGAAAACAAGCAGCAAATTGCCTTAAAAGGTCAAGCTCTCATGCTTCTTTTTTGATGACTGGGTCACACCTTTTACCCATAATTTCCAAATGGTGAATACTTCTAATAATTGCACCCAGTGGACAGAAAGGTCTGAGATTGCTTATGACCTAGAGTACCAGACTTGAGCGTTCTTTATGACGTGACTACTACTCGTGGTGAGAGAAGTAATGTGCATCAAATGAAAATAATGGGTAAAATTGGCATTAGTGGAGATTTACTGGGCTAAGACTGTGACTCAGTGGTAGAGGGCATAGATGTAACACCTAAATATCAGTGTCAGTAAGTCAGCTTTATTGTACATGGCCAAGGGCCTTTACAAGCCAGAGGTCTTTTCATTTTAAAAGAATGAAGGTGCTGGGAATGACCTCTGTCTGAGACTCTGGAGAGACATTGACAGAATAGACAATATCGACAACCGGACCTTGTAAAAATGAAGAGAAACTTGGCTTGTTCACAGATCCGTAGCCTTATCCATCTGAGTCCAAGATACGTTAGCGCTTTTCCAAGGGTCAAACTAAGTGTGACGGCTGTATTGTTTAAACTGGGACTGCTCCAATTGTGTTAAAAAATGACTGGTTTTAACAGCAAAAGGGGCAAGCAAGTGATGCGCTTACTCCCTGAATCCATCTCCCTGAGCTCTTTTTGCCCAGCTGAGTTTTGGCATTGGAGATTATCTAAGAAGAAAGGTAAGTCTCACACAGTTTGCTCTTCCCATCCACGTGTCCCCATTGCTGCTAAAATCAGACAGCACCACATCCTTTTAATTGTAGTAAATGGAACTGATGCCATCCCACCTAGTTTGCCCCTAAAGCATTTCTTCTTAGGGTCGCTGGCTCATAATTCAAGCATGCATTTATTTTAGAGGGCACGTATCCATTGCTACAAGTAATGCTGCAAGGATTACTTCACAACTCACTCAACCCAATGAGATTTGAGCAGTAGCACAAGTGGCGCTGGGCATAAGAAACTCTTGCCCAGGCTACAGCGAAGTAAAGTGCACAGCTGAAAGATTACAGTTCCTATACACTAATAATAAACTCCCCTTCTCTGAGCATGGAACCTTATGTAGCCAAGATGGCACTATCCATGCACATGAGTGAGTTATCAGCACATTTTGAGAAAGCCCATGATTTGAAGAATGAGAAAGAGAGAGGGTGAGAAATGAAGGAAAGGAAAAAACAGCCCAATGTGGATTTAGCATGCTCAGAGGTAATAGAATGCTGGCTGTTGCTGCCTGGGGGCAGGGGATAGAATGGAGTATCCTGGCAGGCTGGAATGCTGAACAGGAGCACGCTACACTTCTGTTGTAGGTCACATTGATACCTCCTATGACCAAAAGCTAGGAAAATAGTCTCTAAATATGTCCCCCCCCCCATTGTAAAATGTTTTTGAGTTTTCATTTGGTTTTCTGCGCCTGGTTTAAGTGTGATAATATAGGTGTGTGAAATACTTATGTCCCCAGGATGCCATAAAACCTGCAGTCACAGTTAAGGAGTTCTAAGCCCATGTGGTTACCACCAGCAGTCACAGCTTTCCTCCAGATAATAGCTCATGGATGCAGGTGCCATGCGTATAGAGACTGCTGCACCAGTTAAAAACCGTTTAAATGTAACACCAGGCAGAATGGAATCCTGTGCAGCTAAATGCTTTATACATACCAAAAGTGGCTCGTGTAAATTGGGTTCCAGCCACGAGAGATGGGAAGTAAGGACCCAGATTCTGGATTTCTGACCAACATAAAGCAAAGAGAACTGTCAGCCATAGCTTCAAGCCATTTACTACTTTGGAGATTTGGGCTTGAACCAAGTCTCATTACTGAAATCGGTATTTGAGATATCCATTTCAATGTTAGTTAAAAAATACTGCTTCATACATACTGTGTTGCATAACATTAAAAAAAATCACTGGGAGGTTTATTTTTCTTGCTTTCAGCTACAATTTCTTACTTTCAAATATATGCAAAATTTTAAGAAATGCTTCATGTCCTTTGGCATTCCAGATGTTGGTGAACTACAACTTCCATTAGCCCTAGTAAGTATGACCACAGGCCAGGGATGATAGGAGTTGCAGTTCAGCATCTGCCCTAAATCAGTGGAATGATCTTCAAATTATTCTAAAGTGGGAAAACAAGTGGAGGGCATGTACACCTAAGTAACCATCATTCATGACAAAGTGTCACAGATTTCAGGAGGACTGACTCATGAGTAAGTGTGCTGGAGCCTTTTGCAGTCTTGCGAGCTATGTATGCCATTCTACAGAAAAGAACACTTCACACATGCTTTGTTCCACTACCCACCATGTTGCTGAGTCTGCGAGACAAATCCTACCCACTTTTAAACATGCATTTTAAATGCAAACTTCCAGTTAAATAGCCTGACTATTGTTAACTTGTGCCACAATTTCCACACCTAAGAGGTATCTATTTGTATAAGCAATGGCCAAAAAAATCAAGATTAATGGAAATAATGAGAGCATATGCTGTTCATATGTAGATCCAGATGTTGTGTTGGCTGGCAGTGTTTTCAGGTAATTTGGGTTCTTAAGGTGTAGAGATCATTCACTTTTACATTGCATATCTGAATCAAGAGATGAACACATGTGGGAAAGCTCTCCTATCCATAATGTTGTGCAGTCCCAGAACAGTTAAAACAATAGACACTGCACATTAGAAGCTGGTTAAGGAATCTATGGGCAATAAACAACTATATCCTAGAGCAGGGGTAGGCAACCTAAGGCCCATGGGCCGGATGCGGCCCAATTGCCTTCTCAATCTGGCCTGTGAACGGTCCAGGAATCAGTGTGTTTTTACATGAGGAGAATGTGTCCTTTTATTTAAAATGCATCTCTGGGTTATTTGTGGGGCATAGGAATTCATTCATCTCCTCCCCCCCCCAAAAAAAATATAGTCTGGCCCACCACATGATCTGAGGGATAGTGGACTGGCCCACGGCTGAAAAAGGTTGCTGACCCCTGTGCTAGAGTATACCAATTAAAATCAACGGAAAAGTCCATTTTTTCAGTGGGTCTTCTCTGAGCATTTCTTAGTTGGATAGCAAAGACCCTTTCCCCTTATCGAGATTCAAAGATTGAGGTACCATCGGTTTCTGAAGGGCTTTTCTGAATTACTTTGAGTCTCATAATTCAAACTCATGAATGAGTAATCCTTCTGAATTCAATGTGATACTGACCCAAAAGTCGTGGACAGGATGGAGCTATTAATAATTGTTTTTATAGATTTTGAGAAGAAAACTAAAGGAGGTGTAAAATGTCCATTTGTCTCAAAATACTACACATATCAGCATAAGAAAATGGGCACAATCAAGTTAAAATTAAGCATTTTTAAGAACCATTGGTTTCAATGGGAAAGTTAGCTTATGTTTACATTTTCACATTTCAAATAATGGGATATAACAGTGCAGTCCTAATGGGACATAACAGTACAATATACACATCTACTCAGAAGCAAGCACCGTTAAATTCAATGGCACTTACATCCAAGTAAGTGAGAACACATTTCTTAGAATTATTACCTCTGTAAACATCCTATACTTTTTTTTGTCAATAGCTTGCTTGTTTCTTGTGATGTTTATTTGGGTGTTTGAACACAAAAAGTCTGAATAACTAAATGCAATAGCAACAACAAGAATAGTAATCACTGTTTAATCATGGTAGAAGAATTGAAGCATTTTTCACAAGTGATATTAAGAATACCTTTCTTCACCTCTAAACTTTGAGAGTCTAAAGTATCATTGCCGTTAATGCAAGAGTGTAAGTGGAAGAAAAACACATTTTGAAATTTGCAGAGCAATCCTATATCTGCCCACTCAGAAGTAAGCCCCATTCATTTCAATAGGACTTACTCCCAGGTGAACATGTCCAGGATTTTAGCTTCTTATGTATGCTGTGATTACTGTTGTTTGTTCCTTTGGTTTATAGAGAAAAGAAACTATAATGCAGTATTGGCTTCCCTTATGAAATACCTTTTCATTTATTTCAAGATAAGATCTGTGGAAGTGTTGATTCACCAGATCAGTCAGCACAACAGGAGGAACTAGAGTCACAAAAATGAATGGCACCATTGAAAGTTACTCACTACTGCTGCCCAATAATTTTGTTATTCTATAATAACTGGTTTTGGTTTACTTCAAATATTAGAAACTGGGGAGAAATACTTAGGCAGAAAAGGCTCATTGTGGAATAGAATCTACTCCCAAAACTGTAAAATAACATTATTAATTTTTTATACATTTTAATTGATATTTCCATTTATACAGGAGTCTATAATTTAAGATCATGTCATATGTTTCACTGAACATAACAATTTGCTTGGGGAGGGGGGTTTGTACCATATAACAATGTCAGAACATTAATAACTTAAATGACACAGACAGAAATTTTCCCCACCATTTTTCACAGTTATGATTAAACTCCAGAGAGCTTTCCAATTTCCTTTTCTTAAAACACTGTTCATATAATATAGAATGCAGCAGTTTTTCTACACAAGGTGAAACACTAAAAGCCCTTGTTATGTCTAACAGAATATTACATCAGCTTTTTGTCATGAATGGTGGACAGCACAGTTGAAGCAAAAATAAGGGAAAATATTACTTGGTATTGTACAGTCTCAAAGCAGGGAAGTTGAGAATATTTTGCATTAGCTGGGGAGGGTGGAGATTTTGCCCCCACCCAGGTTTTTATTTTTTATTTTTGGACAGCTCACATATGTGTTATGGTTGTAGTTATAGGCATGTATGATTTTTCTATGTAGAACAGCAGTTCTTAATTGGTTCCGCTAGTTCTTCTAATTGTTTAGTTAAAACTACCAAACTGATACGATTGAGAATACTATGTTAACACAGTTATAACATCAAGTTTACACACTTGTTTCTTTGAAGTACTAGGAACGTTTACACATTTTATTTGGCTTTGTAAGGACTGAAATCTTACAGATAATACAATCTACTTTTCCTTGTAGAAAATATGGCTCTTTTCAGCTATTTCTCTGAGGTTGTCCTTTTATCTGCAGCTGACTGAAGAACCAGGTGTCTTTTTAAGCGACCAAAGATGCTACAGTATATTTTTCTACAGATTTCATTTTTTAAAAAAATTAAGAATAGTTCTCTCTGGACATTAGAGTTAATTTGTTGCAGCACAATTACTGCATTTAGGCTTGCAATCCCTTCCCATTTAAAACCCGCAGTGTGATGACGCCAAGCGTATGCCTTTTACTGTAGTATCTCCAGGTGACCAGATGAGGGCACTTTAAACATCTTTGCATTGCTTGTGAGGCAAATGCAGAAGCACAGTGTTACCTAAAGTCACATATAATCCTGTAGAACACTATTAAGGTTGCAGATATCTATTCTTCAAAGTTCATAAAAATATAAAATATGTACCATACCACAGGGTTGTTTTTTCCTGAAGTTTCCATCCAACACTAACAACACCCTCTCTAAAGATATTTAGTTTTCCCATTTGTCTTTGCACCTGTCACTCCAATTGCATTTACTGACTGCTGTAACTTCAGGGCTGTTCTGTGTTTATAGCAGCTGCTGTTCTCGTCTGCCCATGATGGCTCATTGCTTGCTCATGGTTCTTGGGATTTTGGATTTATGTGCTAGGAGCAGAACCGGACATTTTGCATGTGTCTCCTCAATAATAATAATAGTATTAAAAATCACAATTTTTCTTTCATGAAAATGACTTTGCAGATCATGTGGTGGGAACCATCATGGGCAGCGCTAGAATCAAAATGGAAGCTGCCACGATCAGGATATTTTAAAGTACCATTTCCTGTTCCAAAGACCAGTCCACCATAATGTTTTGCATTTGCAAGATGGCTTTTGGAACAATTCCTGTGGTGGATGTGTGCACACAGGGCCAGCTCAATATACTCTGCTGCCTGAGCTGAATCAGAAAATGGTACCCCCAGGAATTGGAATTTGTTAATGGTCCTGGGTTGGCAGAGGGATAGGCAATGTTAGGTTCATGGAGGCAGGATCAGCTGCCCCTCCCAGCTTGCCAGAGCCTGCTGCCTTGAGGCAACTGCCTCACCTCGCCTCATGGGCCCTGTGCGCATAGGGAAGCGTCACATCAGAATCTATTCAGCTTCTCGAAAGAGACTGCATGAAATGGATCTGTCTGTAGGGTGGCCGTTTGCACAGCACCAAAAAAGAAGAAATCACCGTCCCCCCTGCCCCCCGCCAAAAAACAAACAAGAGGGCACAGTTAGCATAAAATTTGCATGTTCTTTTTATAACGATAGATGCCAATTTGGAAAGAATAGCTGAAATTTAAAGAGAAATATAATACTTCTCACTCTAGTGAGAATGGCAGTCCGTTGCCCGAGGGCTGGCTGTGGGGCTGTGGTTGGGCAACCTCAAGACTCCTTCTTTCCCTTGTTATGGTTCTTACTCTTTAACCTGTGCTTGATGAGTCCCTGGAATTGACTTTGGGCAAGTGATGTTGGTGATATATTCCCAACAAAATGCACCCACAGCAATCACACTCAGAGCCATCCTGTGCGAGAATTAGACTTCAGAAAAATAAATGATATACTGTACTATGACTCTCAAACGCTTCTCACCAGTATTTTGTAGGGCACGTTGAGGACTGGCCTACTCTGCCTTTTCTTAGCTCCTTGATTCCTTTTCCCTGCTCTCCTTTATTACTAGCCCCAAGCATATTTAATTATAACTGACTGTATATTAAACTGCTCTTCTATACACATTGCTTTTGACCAGACGATGCACTGGAACACATTCTCTCTGATACTGCATCTCAAATCAATATCTCATACCAGGTCTTCTCACAGCATAATACACAGTACTAAAAACAAAACAGAAACCCAACCAATTCCTCTCCATTTATTACTTCAATTGAGCTTAAATGGCTGTCTATAGCAGGCACTCAAGATTAACCTTTCATTTTCACATTGAAGCTTTTAAGGTTCAACTCTTTCAAGGAGATAACTTTTAACTTTGCAAAAATCTGGTATTGTTGGGGGTCAGAGCTCAGTGGGAGAGAAGGTACTGTGCATGCAGAAAATGGCAGGTTTGATCCTGGGACTCTTTGAGTTTTTATTTTTATTTTTTAATGGCTGTCAGGTTGCAGAACATCTGCCTGAGACCTTGCAAAGCAGCTGCCAGTCAGAGGTGACTCTATGGGGCTAGATGCAGCTCTGACAGGTCAAAGTCCTATGTTCATATGACACAGATTGTGTGTTTCCTCTGCTCAAATCTTGTTCAAGTTTTGTATTTTAAAAACAACACGTTAGAAAGTATATATAAATAATTAGTTTGCTTTTTAAAAATAAAAGTCATCTATGCTCAGGGAAACCATTTCTTTTAACATTTTATTTTGCAAAATCATTATCATCTTTTGCTTTCCCCCCCTTCTTAAAAAAAAGTGTGGTTGGTTTTTTTTAAGAGCAGTAAGATGTCTAAGAAGGAAGATGTCTTACAGCAGCCTTTTGAGATGCAAGATCATTCAGTGAGTCCTCACCATGACAGGATCATAAACTTACTGGTTTTGAACAAACTTAGCTGTCCCTTAGCTGCTGAGTTTTAGTTGCACCATATATAAATGTTTCCTTCTTGTGCCATTTCTGTCCCCCCCTCCTCTCTTTCTCTCTCTCCCTCTTTGTGTTTGCCATTTTGTGGATGACCTGAGCAGCTGCTTCCTTCTCTCTCTCCTTTCTAGCTTTACTCGGCCTTCCTTGTTTTTCTGGTGCTGCTAACATATGCGTCAAAGAAGAAATGGCAGAAGAGCACAAAGTAGCTGAGGTACATAAGAGAACACCAGATGACGTTGGAAATGTGTGAGTGACACTGGCCTTGTTGCATCCAGGCGAAGACCAGGTAGTTGATGATGCAGCCCACGAACATCTGTGTGATCTGCGATAGTGTGATAAACATGGCAAACTTCCGGGACACTCTGAAGCCAGCAGCCCGCAAGGCGTAGTAAGTGTACATGAGTGCATGCACTCCATAGTTCATGGTCATAAACCAGCCACCACCAGCTACCATGTCCTTGTACGAGTACCAAGAGTAAAGCAGTACAGTAATATGGTGGTACCAATGGAGGAAGATAAGCTTCTGTTTCCTAAGAACAATAAATATTGTATCTCCTGGGGGGAGGAAAAAACATAAGAAAAATGTTAGAACCCTGAAGCGTACTTGTGAATTAGGTGGCACTCCTAGCCATGGAGGTCATCTGGCCCTCTAATAACAAAGATGCAACCAGGACTACCCCCAAACTATGTACCTGCCCATTTAGACATTTACCTGCCCATCCAAAACAGGCAACTTACTTATCTTCCAGACATGGAAACCACAAAACTTCAATCTTCCCAGGGTTCAAACTCAGTTTATTGGCCCTTACCCAGTCCATTAAGGCCCTGGTCCAGAATTTGCACAGCCTCTTCTGATTCAGATGTTATAGAGCAGGGATGTCCAACTTCCAAGAGACTGTGATCTACTCCCACTAAAAAAACCTGGCAGTGATCTACCCATTGTATTGACCAAAGTTGTTGAGCTTTCTTGACGATCAACCAGGATAGACCAGGGACGCCCTGTGATGGACCGGTAGATCGCGATCGACCTGTTGGACATCCCTGTTATAGAGAAATTGAGCTGTGTGTCGCCAGCATGCTAATGGCACCATGCTCCAAAAATTCTAATGGCCACTCCTAGTAGCTTCAGATGTTAAGCAACATTTGAGACCAAAGGGTGCCCTGCAGAACCCCATAGCACAAGAGTACTTGCCCAATGTTATTTTCTTGGGTAGGAATGGAACTAACGTAATACAATATCTCTGATACCTCTCCTATTCAATTGATCCAGGATGACACCATGGTGAATGGTACAAAAGATGCTGAGAGATTAAGTAAGCATGGCAGGGTTGCAATCTCCCACTACCTCTCCTGATTCAGGTCATCCAGTGGGGTGAGCAAAGTCAATTCAGTCCCATAACCTGGCCTAAACCCAGACTGAAGTGGTTCTATTGTAGATCATCCGTGTCATCCAGGAACATTTGCAGTTGATTATACTGTCAAAACCTATGTAAGGTCATTTAGGAATTTTTTGTCCAATTTAGTTGCAAAGATCATTTTTTCAATGAGATTGATGCTGCAATTCTACTCCCACTAACCTGGGAGTCAGTCCCATTGAACTCAAATGGGACTTTTCAGTTGACATGTATAGGATTGCAGTGATAGAATCGAAAGTCAGCTTATGACTGGGTTTGCACGAAATTTAAGCAAAGGTAGACATTTCACAGAAGATATTATTGAGAAAAAAACTAAAATACATTTTTGAAATAACCTATTATCTTTCTAAGCATGGATAATGGCTATTTATCTTGTATTAGCCTGAGGAAAATGGAAGTTAAATATAGATGAAGAAAATGCATATCAATCCAAGCCCTAATTATACTATGGTCTCTGAAGTCATTACATTTAGTCATGTCAATAGGTTCCAACACAAATTAACTTTACATTTAGGGAGAAGAAAAGTACTGTGCAAATGAAAAATATTGTGCAACTGGAATCAAATCCCTGAATTTTACCTATAGAGATTTTACCTCTTTAGATATGTTTAGAGAGGAAAAGATTGCAAGTAAACAATGCCCTATCAAACTTAGTTATTCCATGATTCTTTCTAAGATCATTTTGTATATTGTGAGGGAGGTTGGTGTGGTACTAATGCCCCAGCAGAGCCAAACTGGCACCCCCACCAATGTGTGTGCAATGTGCCAACGTTCTTACTGCCTCACCCCTCTGGTAAGCTGCAGAGACACTGGTTCCAGGAGGCCAGTAACATCGCTGCCCTGCCCTGCAGCTTGCCGGTGGGCAGTAGTGGTGGCTATACACAGTGGTAGCTCTGCTGGGCAGTGGCCACCAACCTCACCACCTTTAAAATGATCTTAGAAAGAATCATGGAATGGGCTGATAGGGCATTGTTTACTTGCCCAATCTTCCTCTCTAAATGCAAAAAAGTAGGCTATAGGGCAGGGACATTCAGTACTGTATTTTCATTTGCACAGTCTCACAAATAACAAAAGTTAGTATGTTAGGCTGTGTTTATATTCATGCGAAAACGACAAAAAGAACAGAGGCTTGGATGATGCCATTTTCCTCAGGCTATTACAAATAACCATTATCAATAACTGAAAGACAATAGTTATTCAAATTAACTGCTTAGAGTAAATACCATTCCTTACTGAAAAGTCCCAATGAGATTGACATGTATAGGATTGCAGTGATAGAATCGAAAGTCAGCTTATGACTGGGTTTGCACGAAATTTAAGCAAAGGTAGACATTTCACAGAAGATATTATTGAGAAAAAAACTAAAATACATTTTTGAAATAACCTATTATCTTTCTAAGCATGGATAATGGCTATTTATCTTGTATTAGCCTGAGGAAAATGGAAGTTAAATATAGATGAAGAAAATGCATATCAATCCAAGCCCTAATTATACTATGGTCTCTGAAGTCATTACATTTAGTCATGTCAATAGGTTCCAACACAAATTAACTTTACATTTAGGGAGAAGAAAAGTACTGTGCAAATGAAAAATATTGTGCAACTGGAATCAAATCCCTGAATTTTACCTATAGAGATTTTACCTCTTTAGATATGTTTAGAGAGGAAAAGATTGCAAGTAAACAATGCCCTATCAAACTTAGTTATTCCATGATTCTTTCTAAGATCATTTTGTATATTGTGAGGAGGTTGGTGTGGTACTAATGCCCCAGCAGAGCCAAACTGGCACCCCCACCAATGTGTGTGCAATGTGCCAACGTTCTTACTGCCTCACCCCTCTGGTAAGCTGCAGAGACACTGGTTCCAGGAGGCCAGTAACATCGCTGCCCTGCCCTGCAGCCGCCCCTGCTTCAAAACTCAAACGAAAGAATACTAGTAAGGGATATGAACCAGTGTCTTCATTACCTGTAACCCAACTCCATACATGTTTATTGCAAAGAGGAAGGGGGTGAACTGGTGGTGCTTAGGATGGTAACCTAAATCAGCAGTAAAGCTGATTAGTAAATCAGTGTTCATATTTCGCCAGGTCATTTTGTGACCAAGTGAAGATGCCTGGGCACCAGGATGGCACCTGACATCTCCACCATCTGAAGACATCTCCACTATCTGGAGGTGCATGTCTGGGGATCCTTAGATCTTGACTGTTTTCACACACTAATAGCACAGCCTGTGGAATTATATCCGTTATATTTTATCTGCACAATCAGAATGAATCTCAGGAACCAAAAAGTCGTATTGAAAAAATACAACTTTCGAGCGGTCTGGCCCCCAAATGGCAACTAGACATTCCATTTTGGCAACTATAATGCTGGTTTAAGGAAATATTTAGTGCCTAGCTTATATATACACGAGTTTCTAACACTGCCCCATTTCCATAAGCAACTGCAGGACTCACAATAGGTTTTCACACATTCCCAGTGCTTTTTTTCTGGGGGGACGCAGGGGTATGCATACCCCTAAACATTTTGTGAATCTAAGTTTGGCCTCTTTGGGGGGGGGAGTATTACAGTATGAGTAGGAAAATGAGAGTACCCCTAAACGTGTGGTTTTTTTTAGAAAAAAGCACTGGACATTTTCAACAGCAGTCTGAAGGGTACAAAGTGGTACCATTCTAAATGATGTGGAGCAGGTCTGGCTCTGGTCAGTGCTTAGATGAAAGACTACTTGGGAAACACAGGTTCCCTTGGTCCCCAAGAGGAGAGTAAGGCAGGATACACAATAAAGTTAATATTGTGTATCTCCTTCTAGCTGATGCTGAAAATCAGCAATGGACTGAAACAGCATATTCTTAATAGTCATCATTGTTTTGTTGGGTCGGAAGCCTTGTGAGGTTTCCTGAGAAACAAGCTGTGGAACGTCTGCCAAATCACGGCTTCGTATTTCCAATTAGAATCTGCCTAAGAAACTTCAGGATAAGCAAACATAGATGTGCAAATGGCTTTGCTACTTACAAGCTTTTGAAAACTACTGGTGAGGAAACTGCTTAGACACATCTTCATAAACTAAGTGATGAAGGGAGACTAGGTCTGGACATTATTTCTAGGTGAGGAATTTGTTAGACCGTCCTGTTGGCATGCATATGAGCAGGCAGTTAAATATATGACTGATTTCCGTATTATTGTTTTTTCCTGTTCTGTTGGCCCTTAAGAAGTTTGACCCTTGAGAAGACTGTGTTGGTTATATACAATATTTTGATAGGAGTAGAAGTACTTCAGAATGAACAATATATGACCGTATCTGTGTTAGGGAGACTCTGCGCCACCAATGGGTTAAGGTTTTTTGGCTGCATTGGCCATTCACTGGGTTGGTGAATGGTCACTTTGTGTGGTTGCTAAAATGCTACTTTCTTGCTCTTGGAAGATAGTTGAGGAACAGCAGCAAATATAGAACCCATGAGCCTTAATAATCCAAACAGTATGAGTTAAGGACAACTATTCCATCTGGAATTTTGAGAGTCTTATCTGTATTATTCTTATCTGTATTTGTTATTTTTTTCACAAATGTGACCCACAATGACTTAACTATATTACAATTTTGCTCCACTGAGGAAAACTCATTTGAGACCACAAATACAAGTGGTTGTACAGTGATTAATATATTGACTGAATGCAAAATTTTAAAGGCATTTTTTTAGCACTATTAATAAGCAATCAAACAAGCACCTTTTTCAAGCACATCAAGGTGATTTACAAATATATAGCATAAAACAAGAGAACTGCTAAGGAACAATCCTGTCACACCTTTGTCCTTTTGCTCCAAATGTACCCCATGAAGTGAAAAAGGAGAGAAGGCACTCACCTAGTTCTGGTGCTTTGCTTAGCACAAATGCATAAGCCCAGAATTTGCTGACAGGTCCATTGTAAAAACTCTGGTCACAAACTGACTGCTTCAGTCCTTTGGTCATCAAAATGTACACCATATAAGCACCCGTTCGAACAGCACCAAATATACTTCATGACCATAAAGGGAAAACAAAGAGCAGTCGGTTATCATCAGATAGTAGAAGATAAAATCCTTAGAGAGCCCAGATATAGTTACTGAGTGCAAGAAGCAGGAAGTACCTTCATTGTGCCTATCCTGACCTCCATTTAAGAACATGAGACGAGTCCTGCTGGATCCGGTCAAAGGTCCAGTAACTTGTTCTTATAGCAGCCAACCAGATGCTCATGGGAAGACTGCACCCTTTCTGAATACTCGAATAAAAAGTTCCCACAGAAGAATTTAGTTAAGGATGCTGCTATTCAACACATTTATTGGAAACACATTCCTTTGATTTTGTTGGACTCCAACTTCCATCAGTCCCAGCCAGCATGGACAGTGGTTATTCTCCAACATAGAGCTTATCATGTAGATAGCTCAGCTGGTAGAGCATGGGACTCTTAATCTCAGGGTCCTGGGTGAAATATTCCTGCATTGCAGGCGGTTGGACTAGATGACCCTTGTGACACCCTTCTATGAATCTATGTGGGAGTTCAAGGCTACCCCTTTACAGACAATGTACACTTCCTCCATGTCTCCTGTGTGAGAGATACTGCTTCTAGTTGGGAGGATGATTGGCGAGTCAATAGAGTTTAGCGCAGGGGCCTTCCAGTTGTTGCTGGACTCTTAACTCCCATCAGTGCCAGTCAACAATGGCCAGTGGTTCAAGATGATGGAAGTTGGAGTCTAACAACATCTGGATGTCCATAGGCTTCCTATCCCTGCCTTAGAGCAACAGAACTCTTGAAATAAATATGCAGCACCATATCCTCTCCATAGCATTTCACATCTAGTTTCTAAGTAACCCCCTAGAATTAATCAATACTGAATTTCATTGCTACAGAAGACAGAGCGTCTTTGCTTTTGCAAGATTCCTTTATTTTGAAATTACTCATCCGCTCAAATACATTTGTGGGTAAATTCAGCATTTACAAATAAATATATCAAAGCTTCCATAATTATGCCAAAGTCTGCTGAAGGGCTTGCGGAGACTGGGGCATAACCAATAAAATTTTTTATTAAGGAAATATCTTAGTTCCGCCACATTCACAGTTAACAAGACTGGACAGCTTCTGGATTTTATATGCAAAGGCAATACTCACTTTTTAGCTAAAACTCTGTTTGGCAAGAGATCTCATTGGAATTAAGGAAGCCACTTAATAATCTTTAGGATGGCACAGGAGGGATTCATAAGCATGGTATAACACTGAAATAATCCTTAATGAATACTTCAGGGATGTAGCCCTGTGAAGTTACTGGGGTCAGCGGGAGAGGGCTAGGCTCCAAACAGAATCTGAAAATACTGCAGTAATCTGGAGATTTGAACAGTAATCCGAAAAGGCAGAATACCTGTTTCTAGAGGATACTCTTTAAGGTTCTTACAAGATCAAAGGTATCCAGTTGTTATAGCAACTAGAATACTTAGCCCTGAAAAGTATGTATCTATGTGCCTGTTGAAAATTATCCTGAGCAAACAATGAAAAAAGTAAGAAAGCCGTAAGGCAAATAAATGAACTCAAATGAGGCTAAACTATAAAATAGTTTAAGTAGATTATAAATGGCATGGAAAGTTTCAGATGGCTGGAAGGAAAAGCTGAGTTCTAATACAATTATAATAAATCGGTGAAAAGAAAAGGTCTTCAATAGGAGGATCTAAGCTGTTTTAAACTGGGTTTTTTTTTCAATTTTGTATTTCAAATTGTGGCTAAATAAATAAATAATAAAGGGAGGGAATTTCAAAGTGCCACCTCATTAAATCTCTGATTCTTATACCAAACACATGGAACAGTATCTGCAGGAGGTGCTGCACTGCACAGCATAGCAATCCATTGGGTATATATGTTATATATAATTTTTTTGGTATCCTGGTCCCAAGATGTGTAGGGTTTTGTATACCAGTGCCATCACCCTGAACTTAGCCTACAGCTAACTGGCACACCAGGGTACTGTGGGAAATTAAAATGGCAGTTCCATTATTATTATTATTATTATTATTATCTATTATTATTATTATTATTATTATTATTATTATTATTTGTTAGTTGCTTTATCTTGCACAAGGCAACCAAAGCAACTTACAACCAAACAAATCCCACATAGATATGTTGTTAAAACCAAGAGGAAAGAGAAAAACATCCCACCCACTTCTAAAAGGCCACAGATATTTAAAGGCCAACAGCCTGGCTATAGAGGAATGCTTTAGCTTATATTAAAGATGGGGGACTAGATCAGGCATCAGCGGTGGTAACAAAAATGGCTGCATGCTGATGTCAGGCCTGATTGAAAGTTACACTGTTCTTTTAAATCATACTTTATTGCAACAGCCATTAGGTTCCATGCAGAAAGCACACTTTTTCAGGATGTGAAATCTAGACTCTTGCCACATGGGGGTGCTTTCACCATGTGGGAAACATGTTTGCATGCCTTTCATTTATTTCCATCCAGCCTTTTCAACGCCTGTTCCTGGTGCAGGTACCAACTGAATGCCGAAGTTTGCAATGTTAGGGCAGCTGGCAGTAGCACAATGCAATTTTCTCGCTCATACACTTTGCCTAGCCTTGTGGTTGTTGTCTTCCTTCCTGTCGCAATGCTTGTAGTGTGCTGGAGAAAGCGGTTAAGAAACCGGCAGTAATTAAAGCAGCCTTCCCCCACCAAGGCCAGATTTAGGGCTGTTAAGGTAGTTCCTTCACACAGGCCGCTGAACTGAGGGGGCGCAGAATGGAAGGCGAGAGGGAGTGAGCTCACTGCCTGGACCTCCTCCCTCCTGTCTGTACTTTTGATGTCAAAATTCCCCAACCGCAGAGGCTGCTGGGTTACAGAATTAGCTTTTCTAAGAACTGACAGCTTCTATAGTAGCTGGTTTGTGTTGCCTTGCTACTAAGGACTAACTAAGCAGAGGTCAAGTGGCGGGTAAATCACGACTGAACTCGTGTCAAGTGGGTCTGTGACCTGGGTCCAAGTCACAGGAAGGCATGAAAAAATGGGGAAATGGGGGGGATTTTATCCTTGCTCAAGGTGCCATATGACCAAAGACTGCCCTGGCCCCAACCTGGTGCCCTTTATCCCGTGAACCGCCTTGAACCTGTGGGTATAGGAGGGCATATAAATTTAATAAATAATAATGATGTAGTTAAACTGCATCTCTCACCATCACTGGCCATTGGCCATGGTGTCCAGGACTGAGGGGAGTGGTTGGCTAAAACATATGAAGGATATCAGTTTGGGGTAGGCTGCATTACAGGATATTGATTAAGGGGCATTCTTGTCATATTCCTCTACTTACCTGAAGACTGCCAGGCACAGAGACCAGAGCACTAGTGGTTTCCTCAGTTCAAATTTTGCTCGTTTGTTCATTAGATGTCGACCACCAAATATAAAGGCAGCATAAAGAGCTGAAAACAGGAAAGATTTTTTCCTGGGGGGAAAAACACAAAACCCACAATCACCAAAAGATATTCAGTGACCTTTTTAGCTGCATCATCATCATCATCATCATTATAATAATAATAAAATAATAATTTATTTATACCCTGCCCATCTGGCTGGGCTTCCCCAGCTACTCTGGGTGGCTTCCAAAAAAATATTAAAATACAGTAATGCATCAAACATTAAAAGTTTCCCTAAACAGGGCTGCCTTCAGATGTCTTCTAAAAGTCTGGTAGTTCTTGTTCTCTTTGACATCTGCTGGGAGGGCGTTCCACAGGGCAGGTGCCACTACCGAGAAGGCCCTCTGCCTGGTTCCCTGTAACTTGGCTTCTCACAGTTAGGGAACTGCCAGAAGGCCCTCGGCGCTGGACCTCAGTGTCCGGGTAGAACGATGGGGGTGGAGACACTCCTTCACATTTACAGATCATCAAGGTTGCAACCCCAGATCCCTATATCTGTAAGACCTATTAAACTCAATGGGACTTATTAATGATTGCCCTGTTTGTTGGGGAAACACATTTGGTTTGGAACAAGTTAGTAGAGATGTTTCACACAATACATTCTTTTGTCCCTGAAAGCAGGTATATTCCTGGGTCATGCTGATAAACTTTGACCAGTTTGCCGCCAGAGCATTAACCACAGATTTCCTGTCTAGACTCAAGAAGCATTCACAATGTTCTCAGTCTGTAAAACAAACAAACCGCATGGTTTCTTGGTCTGAGTTATGTATTTATTTCAACAATTTATATGCTGCTTCACATCACAGTCTGTTGAATAAGGGTACAAAAAGATACAACAGAGATCTCTACATCAGAACCTGACCAATGTTTCTCATGCACAATAGAAATACATCATGACTTGATAAATCACATGCAGATAAATCTGCCTGTTTTAGTTGCAGAAGGGTTTTTCTTTTCTTTTTTTAATAAAAAAAATTATCCAGATCACACAGGCTGTACAAGTGTGCCTCAGGAGCTGCATGTAACCAACAGGCCATATGTTGTCCAAATCTGCTCTGCTGAGTTATTTTCCATCAAAGATTTGCAGTCATCATACACAGCCTGAACCAAAATCTAGTGAGAGCAATTCACTAACACAAAGGCCAACCCACAACCCGAAATTTAATGGATTTAAGTTTATTTATATATTGCATTTATATGCCACCCTTCTGCCAAGTCAACCCAAGGCAGTTTACAATTTAAAATACATTAGAATAAACAAAATATATTCTCTCCCAAGCTTCAGGAGCTGGCAGCTATTAGCTCCCTGCCCTGCTCTTCTTCACTCCTGCCTTCCCTCAGGGCACTGCAGCTAGCAGAGTGACATCTCAAAAGTTCCTGTCACATGTTTCTAAAGCAGCATATATCATGCAGATTCAGGAAGAAAAGCCAAGCCCAGCTTTTACCCTCCAGGAAAACAGGTTTGTAACCTGAACACAGCTAGACACAGTGTTTTGTGAACTGCCCTGAGACCTCCAGGTATAGAGAGGTATATAAATTCTAATAATAATAATAATAATAATAATAATAATAATAATACAGTCATACCTTGGGATGAATACGCTTCAGGTTGAGCGTTTTTGGGTTGCACTCCGCGGCGACCCAGAAGTAATGGAATGCATTACTTCTGGGTTTCGCCACTCACGCAGACACTCATGCAGACACATGCGCGGAAGCGGTGAAACACAACCCGCGCGTGCACAGATGCACAGTCACGTGTTACGTTCACTTCAGGATGCGAATGGGGCTCTAGAACGGATCCTGTTCACATCCAGAGGTACCACTGTAATAGCTAGGGCTGGAGGAAGAGGGGTAACTTCTGCCTGAAACACTGGAAAGCTACTGCTAGTCAGTGTAGGCTAGGGATTTTTTCAGCCCAAGGGTCAATCTTCCTGGGACCACATACCAGTGATGGGCAGGACCAGAGCAAAAGTAAGTGAAGCAATGGATGTTGATTTTACCTTTCTATAGCAGACTAGTTTCTACACAAACACCCCTCTCTATCCTCCCTCCAGGCAAGCAAGGACACATTCCAGCCAGGCAAAAACTCTCAAGGAGGGCATGAAGGAGAGCAGCAGATGTGCCTAAAGAGGGAGGGTGGCCTGGAGAAAGCCTCAAGGGCCAGATAGACAGGACTGAAGGGCCACACTGGCCACCAGCCCTGAGATTCTCCTCCTCTAGTATGGATAATACTGATTAAGATGGGCCAACTGTCTGGCTCAATATAACACAGCTTCCTGTGTTCAAATGCTTTATCACTGAGCTACCATCCTTCCCCAGCTGCTTTTCTGCCAGTGGGATGTGGGAGGTACGAGTCCCGCCCCCCCCATATTTCCCCCTCTACATTTGAGAGAAAACACCATCTTGTCCAGCATAGTCCTAATTAGCCCCTCACAGAGCTACATTTCCCAGAGTGCCCTGGGAAGAGGGATTGATTGTTAAGCCACTCTAGAAGCTGGGGTTGGGGAACTGGGTGCAGAGTTGGGGAGGCTTGTTCCGGATCCCACTTTCCTCTCAACCTGCTATCAACCTGAAGTTCATTCTCCCTCACCATTCTGGCCGAACCATTCCAGTCAAAATAAATAAAATCACCTTGTTGGAATCTTTGCCACAAACCAATTCCAAATTTCTTAATAAATATTGTACTATCACCATTGAAAAAGCCACTCTAGGAGCTGTTGCTCTGCAAGAGGAATAGGGGTCTCCTAACAACTCTTGGCACCCTTGGCAAACTACAGTTCCCAGAATTCCTTGGGGGAAGCCAGGGCTATCTAAGTGCTATAAGGGTGCTTCAGACATATGGTAAGGCCATGGCCAAGGGCTAATTTGTAGTTCAAACTCAAAGCAAAGAATTGGGGGGGGGGGGTTTGGCATGAAGAGACAAGATGGGATGGAGTCTGACATTTCAGGCTGCTGCCTTTCTCTTTTGACTGCACCCAGGGAAGGATTACTTCCCACACAGCTGGCTCTCTGCTGGTCTGTTTTCTCTTAGCCCCATGAGGTACCTCTTGTGTCTTCCTTTGCAAGATGGTAGGCTATTGGTGGGTGCCACAACACTGAGGTTTAGCCGATCCTTACATTTCCCCAGGGAAGCCAATTAAAAGCAGTCATATTTGTTTATAGCCAATCAATGGCATCCTCTGGGCCCATGGGCAGAGTAAAACTACCTACAGCTCATATTTAAAATCTAAAACTACAGGACAGACTCAAATCCTTTCATGTAGCTAAACAGCTCTTTGGCTCTTTACCTCTGTTGTGAATGTATATCAAGCCGAATAAAATTACAAAACCATTTCTTCCCTGTTGAAATAGAACTTACATCAGTGCAAGATAATAGACTGGAGAAACCTGACCTCTCTCCCAGTTCTTTGATATTTTTTTATAGGCACAATGTAGTTATTTAACAGAAAATGGCACCCAAATTACCCCTATTACTTTGTGTTCAAGCTGTATTAAGTAGGTCAGCATCTATAATTATATCTTAGGTCACTTCACAACTTTTTAATTAGCTCCTTATTTCTGACTTTTAAAGGTCATACATTCTACATTATCTGCCTGTCTACATTATCTACAGAAGGCGTTATTGCTGGGGATCAGTAAAATGAATGTTTTGCTTCCCTGGCAAGATATTTAAACAGCAGACCCTACAAATGGGCCATAGAGGCCTAAAATCTGTGGGGAAATGACATTATGGAACAAAGGAGTGATGGCGTTCAAAGGAGCAAAAGAAACACAAAGAGTTATGGTGAATACAGAAGACCACATCAAAGTGTGGGAGTCTAGTGGTTGGTAATCCAGTCATCCATACTGTCATTCACAGGTGAGGAGAGCAGGAAAAGACAGCAACCAATAGAAGAATAATACATGGGATGTTAGAATGATGTTGGATTGAAGTTAAGTGGTTTTTAGCAGCAATGTTATAAAGGAATATGTAAAAATGGATTGTTAACAGGTGATAATCTGAAGTTATAATATATTAAGATAAAAGATTAAGATAAAATCAAAGAGGGAAAGGATTTGCTGAATTAACTAATTTGAACTGGAATACAAAAAAGGGAGGTGTGAGGAGGTCAGGGAAACAAGCAAATGAAAGATAAGATATGGAAAGACTGATCTGTTTTTTAACTGTTTTTATCTTGTATTTTCATTTTCTATTTTCCCCCCTCTTTTTTTCTCTTTTTTCGCTTATTTTTGTAATATGTTGAAACTTTAATAAATATCTTTTTTAAAAAAATAGAAGAATAATACATGGGGTAGCAGAGCCTGAAATTCCATTTGGTTCAGGTGTAAATCTTGTGCGTGAATTGGGCAGGCTGAGAGAAGCATGCAAAACTCTACCCTGGCATCATCCTCAATGAGCAGCGGGAGCTTGCAGATGCTCCCACATATCTGGATAGCTCAGCTGGTTAGAGCATGGTGCTGATATCTCAAAGGTTATAGGTTTGAGCCCTGTACGAGACAACTGCATATTCCTGCATTGTACGATTTAGAACCCCAGTTATGCAGGGCATTAAATCATGCAGGGAACTTCTATGAGTAGAGGAGACTTCTCACTCCCTACAGGAAACATCCCCACTTGTCTCCACTCAACCTGCTTGTGTGTAAGGATTACGTGCAAACAGAACACCCAAGTAGAGTTGAAGAGCAACAGGGAATTGTGGTACAAAACCAATCCATCAGAAAGACTGCTTTTTCTGAGTCATGAACCTGAGTAAAAAAGCAAGAGGAAAAAGAATGGCCTAAAATGAAAGAGGGGGTATGAAAGCATGGGGGGGGGAAGGGTGATACTACAGTACAGTGGTACCTCGGGTTACATATGCTTCTGTTACAGACTCTGCTACCCTAGAAATAGTGCTTCAGGTTAAGAACTTTGCTTCAGGATAAAAACAGAAATCGGGCTCCGGCGGCACAGTGGCAGCAGGAGGCCCCATTAGCTAAAGTGGTGCTTCAGGTTAAGAACAGTTTCAGGTTAAGTACAGACCTCCGGAATGAATTAAGTACTTAACCCGAGGTACCACTGTACAGATAAAGGTAAGGTCTTTATGCTGTGCCATCAGTGTGCGTTCATGGAGTACAAAATCACAGATCCCTGCCCTCTTACAAACTAACATGTGACACAAGCAAAACAACAGATGGAAGGGAGGGGATACAGCAGCAATGTCTCATTTATATTCTTTGTAAAGTACTGAGAAAATTTATGGACCCACCACTCTACTAATCTCATAAAACAGTCTTCCCCAAAACCCCACCAGTTGATGTTGGATTCCAGCTCCCATCAGCCCCAGCCAATATGGTCAATGGTAAGGGATGATGGGAATTGTAGTCCAGCTATTATCTAGAGGCCACCAGGTTGGAGAAGGATGTCATAACATATAGCACTGGTACCAAAAACACTAGACCAGGCACTGGCTGTGGTCAGTGTCATGCTAAACCATTGTTTAGCATTACATGCACAAGCATGAGTGAGCCAGGATGAGGCTTTAAAGATATTTATTTCCATTTTCTCTGAATCTTGGTTTCTTCTGTTATCCAGAGCAGGGATTGCAGTTTATAACAAAATCTGATTAGTTTAAGAATCCAGGCTCATCGCTGATACTGACCTTAAAGAGCAAATGAATGGAAAGCAAAAATGTATGGAAATGTGTCAACGTTTATGGGAATGTGCCAGAGATGTACCATTTTCTTCCCTGAAATAAAATATTTGGCTACCACATGCTAAATAATGTGTTTCTGTGGACTACCAACATTGGTTTATATTTTCTATTCAACTATATTTTGTTTGAATGAACAGATGGTTGCAGCCGCATAACAGATACATAGAAATATTTTTACATTATATTTGGAAGATTGTGGGTTGCTTCAAATATAAGCATCTAATAGTTGATGTGAATCTCCATTGAACTCAAGTAAGGGAATTCCAGGCTCAGCCCATCTGAGCTGTATATATTAGAAACCACATAACATCCATTGTGATGGCTTCCCTTTGAAATCCCTTCTGTACCTTTCTCCACAGTGGACTGACAGCACAGCAACGGATTGTAACAGACAGCAAAGCCATCTCATTTACCTCCCTGCTCCATCCACAGATTGATTAGCTCATAGTGAGCTGGACAACATCAGACAAATGCTTGGAGCTGGCTGTGCTCCAGTAGTCTTGGATCAAAGACCTGTCTTCTCTGTAACAGGGGAAAATCCAGCTGTGCATATTTTCTGTGGTCAAAATGGGACCTTGTGTATTTTGGTTCTGTGGTCCTTGAGAGGTGGACACCTATGGAAAAGGACTGCAGAGCCAGAAGGAGGGCACCTATGGTCCAACAGAACAAACATTGGGGGAAGGCCCCCAGGAAGGCAGGGAAAGATTAAACAGGCAAAGGGGGTTGGAGGATCTTGGGCAGGGCCCAGTAACCTGGCTATAAAAGCCCTGACCCCACCCAAGGGGAGAGAGAGAGGGAAGAGGAGAAAAGAGGATTGAAAAGAGGCAGCAGAGGAATAAGAGAAACAGGAATTCCAGATCTAGGGGAGGTGTTGAAGGCAGAGGCCCTACTAGCAAAGTCCACTTTTGGAGCCTCAAAGTCCTCCACTATTCTGAGGGCTGCTGAAAATTCCTACTACGGATTTATTACATTTATGTCCCCTCCTTTCCTCCAATGGTCTCAAGCGTCAGGGACTGGCTGGATGAGGAGTTGTGGAAGTCGCTTGACCAAGAGACCTCCAGGGAAAGCACAGAAGGGGAGGGTTTGGATCCTGACTCCTGGTGGTGGGAAACCAACCACACCCCAGAAGAGGGGAAGAGCTGGGAAGTACTGGAGGCTGGGAGCTTGAAGGATGATGAAGAGGAGGAAACAGGCAGGTGCCCCAGCACAGGGAATCAGACTAGGCAGTTCTACCACAAAGCCACCCTGACAGCTTCTCTGCTGACAGTCTGCAAGCCCCGCCCCCCCACTCCCAGAACAAGGTGTCTATTGCATGTTAAAGAGCAGAGACCATGGTCAAAGATGTACAGAATTTAAATGTGAGTTTCCTATTCATCATCTTCCCTAACCAAAAAGATTCAAACTTCCTGGCTGAGATTCATTGCCCGCTTCTACCCCAGATAATGCACATGTTCCAGGTAGGTCTCAAGTTGACCAGATTTATTTTAATACTGTGTTTAAACAGGGTGAAGGGGATATTGGGGAGAAAGGAGAAATATACTTGTTGTTGTTTAATTGCGATCTCATCAACCGCAAAATTCACCAGCCACCATCAGCTATTACTGAATGTTGAATTATCCTTGCAGACATAAGCAAAGCCAAAGATATAAAAGTATAACATTTCCTATTTTATCATTGTTGTTGTTTTGTAGCTATGTCAGAAGCAATGTATTTTCAGTGGGAATTTCTACCTCGCCTACCACTGTTCTAGCAATACAGCAAACATTAAGTTATGTTGCTACTTGAATCTCCTAACACCACAAATATGTCAAAAACTGTCATTCCATAAATGTAATAGCTTTCAGTACAACAGGGAGCTACATTAATCCATGCCTAGATGAATTAGTTAGGAAACATATAACATATTTTGTACAAACATAGTGCTAAAGCCAGCAATTGTCAAGGCAAATCAATTTTCTACGTCTATCTATAAGGATTTCTGAACTTTGTTGCCCAGGGAATTTTATGGGCAAAGACTAAGATGATAAAATTAGAAATTAACAAGACATCCTCCATACAGTCATGTGAACTGTACCCTGTCTCCTGGAACCATTAATTTTCATTGAACAGAAAGCATAGCTGTTCATGGGGGAAGGGAAGGGGGTAGTTGCCCCAGATGAACCATAAACTCCAGATTCTCAGCTTTCATTTAAAAAGAAAGTAAGGGTATAGTCACACTAGCACAGGCATAGGCAAACTTGGCCCTCCAGATGTTTTGGGACTACAATTCCCATCATCCCTGACCACTGGTCCTGTTAGCTAGGGATGATGGGAGTTGTAGTCCCAAAACATCTGGAGGGCCGAGTTTGCCTATGCCTGCACTAGAAGCTTAAAATGCAGCAAGGTCACCCCCCCTGATAAATTGCATGCAACATTTGCATGGGGTTGTTCACATTGGAGAGGGGTTATATTCACCTGATGTGCATGACCACCTTGGTTTCCCTGCCCATGGTACCCCCCTGAAACTCCTAATCATTAGGAAATTCTCCAAAATATAGACTTATGGGCCTCCATACATCCAGAATTTCCTGGACATAGCTGGGATGTCCAGGAAAATTCAGACATATGGCAACCCATAAGACACTTTTGTGTCTGGATTTTCACTTTCTGAAAGATGGCAACCCTGCATTAAACTGTAAACTGTACTTGTATGTCCATCTGCACCTGCACAATCAATCAATCATTTTATTTGCATGTCATGTTTCCAAAATAAAACCATGCTCAAGGCGGCTTACAACATATAAAAAGTTACATAGCTACAAAAATAACAAAAGTAGTGATAAAAAATAAACCAAACATCAAAAGGTACACAACCAAACTGAACACTTTCCAAAGATTTAACAGCAACAACACTCGCCATACCTCAGCCCAATATTCTGTTCAGCAGTCTCAGCTTTTGTAGCTGGAGTCAATCAAGGTTCCACCCTCACAGACCTAAATATACCAAATGAGGACAAGTTGGGTATATAACAAGCTGGATAAGTTCCGATCTTTCTTCTAGGGCCCACAAAGAACCTGATAAGACTTGTTTCTCTTCTCTTCTTCTTTTTTCCTGCCTGCCAATGTGGGGAACCCAAAACCTTGGGGTTTAGCTGAAACCTTTTGCCAGGCCAGAAGATATTGCTTGTGAGCAGCAGTTGGTTCAGTGGGAAGTTGCACAGGTCCAGGCAAAAGGGAGCAAAAGGGAAGCCAAAAATTGCCTACATGCTGCTTCAGAAATAAGACAGTAATGTTGTAAGACAAGCCTTGAAACAGAAGCCTCTGGGGAATACGGTTAAGGCGGAACTTACCAAAAAAAACCTGCAGAAAAGAGCAATGTTGGAGGGGAAGACAATGCCACCTAAAATGAGGTCAGTGAAGGTGCCTAAGGCAAGACTAATAAATATCTTTGCTCCTCAACTCTTCTTAATAGAGACTTTCACCACGATGGCTTTATCTTGTTAAGAAAGACTGACAGAAGTAGAAGACTCTTCCATAGGGGGCTAGAGGCCCCTATAACTTCTCACCCCATAGTTCAATTGGTAGAGCATGAGACTCTTAATGTCAGGGTTGTAAGTTAAATATTAAGAGTCTCTATAACTTAAATAATAGCCAACATAAACAATGCAACCTGTACAAAACAGCCTGTGCTTGAAAAGTAGATGAATTCCAGCACTGAAAATAATACATTATATTTTCAGAAGCATTTTATCATTTCCCCAACTTTTCTTTGTCAGATAAGGCCCCGAGAGACCAGGGTTCAAATCTCCATTCAGCCATGAAGCTCACTGGGTGATTTTGAGCGAGTAACCGACTCTCTGCCTAACTTACCTCACAGGGTTATTGTGAGGACAAAATGGGGAGGAGGAGAACTATGTATGCCATCTCGAGCTCCTTGGAGGAAATATAGGTTATAAATATAATAAAACAGACAGTCGGGTGGACAGACAAACAATAAAATTTGTGATTGCTTGAATTGTTTATACTTCTGTGTTGTTAGCTGCATTGAATTCTACTGTAGAAGAAAAGGAAGATATAACAAAAATTAAATAAATAGCTGTGTAGCACAGAAACCTGAGCATAAATGTAAGATGTAATTTTGGATCTAAGAAAACCACTATGGTAAAAAAGAAAAAAGAAACCAACCAGCTTCAGGAGCAGAAGTTGTGAGAAAAATTACCTTTAATTGTTCTGCACAAAGTTACAACTTCCAACACCCTTAACAAATTACAGTTTCCGGAATTCTTTGGGGGAAAGTCATGTGCTTTAAATGTATGGTGTGAATACAGCCAGGGTTGTAAATTTTGCAATGCAAATGGATTGCAATGCAATGCATTCTGCAATGCAGAAAAACAGGATGAAAACAAATAGACAGGTCAGTGTCCTTTTAATTATTGAGCCTACATTATAAATATCTTAAGTATGTAGATAAATATATAAACAGGTGAATGTGCAGATGATATAAACATAGTATTTTCCTTTAAACAACCTGTAAAATTTAGATTTATCAATATCAAGTGCATAAATAGTTGTTCAGAATGAGAGTCAAAAACTTATTTATAACCGCTAAAAGAGGGCTTAACAGTAACCAAGTTACCGTACTAATTAATTCATCTTTACTTAAAAATCGCACATAGTTTATTCCGATGCGTGATATTCATAATTCTTTATTGATATATTGTGTGACAAAATTCCATCTGTTCATAAAGTATTGACATGTCATAACATCAATGTTACTTTTTAATGTTACCCAAAATTGGTCCATTATTATCCTGCCCTGGATTAAAAGTTTTCATCATTTTGTTAGGCCCTGCTCCTTATTACCCTGTCAGAGGAGTTCTATTCACACAAGGCTTTCTTGCCCTTTCTCCAACTGTAGGCTTCTGAAATCCTGTTTTTAATGGTCAGGGTTAGGGGCCTCCAGAATGGTATGCTGGGGCTGCAACAAGAGAAAAAAATGTAGATTTGGGGGTGGGGAAACTCAACTTGTATGGAATTGGCTTTCTACTCACAGAATAAGCCACTTGCATTGGCAACACTATATTTTGTTAATGGTGGACTTCTATTTATTTCTTTAATAGAATGTTGTTTACAGTGTTCGAATGCATTTTTGCAATTTTTGCATTTTCTGGTTCTCGTCCAATGAATTAATAACATTAATATTTTATACTGGGAACTGGGCCTTGTGCATTTTAGTGCTGACCTTTGGTTTTAAGCAAATAAATGACTGACTGAATTAACAGTTCATTTTTATTGTTCAATCAATGCTATTTTTTTTAAGGAAAAGTAAGCATATAACTAGTTAATAGCTTTAAATAAGAGCTTGTGAGGTCAAATGCTCCTGCTGTACTAATTGTATCACATAATGTGCCTTGAAAAGGAAGACATTGATGAATCTGTACATTTTACTTAGGCATGTAATTTCACTGGCATCATGACAAGATGCCATTATTACATGATTCCCAGCTGCAATGATTGTTTAAAAACAATTCCTTGAACTTTAAAGTGTTGTTAGATTTTTAAAATTGTTCTTATTTATTTGTAGCTATGCTGGAAATGGCAATGACCAAAAATGTCATAAGATGGTGTGTAAGCTTTCGAATTCTCCAAAATTCTTCATGGGGCTAAATCAGGTGTGAGGAACCTTGGGCTCTTCAAATGTTGCTGTATATCTGGCATCATCCCTGGGCACTGACTACACTTACTCAGGCTGATGGGAGTTGTAGCTCAACATAGGGAGGACCACAGATTGTCCACACCTGGGCTAGATGAGCAGAGTAAGGGAGGCACAGAAAGAGCCTCATTTGAATGTTTGCTAGCTCCTCCCATATTCCATCTTGGAATGCAACTATTATAAATGAACAAATGCAGTTGTCATGGCTCCAACATTTAAACAACACCCCCACCCCACCCCAGCCCCCGGTCCTATCCCTTTACCATCAAGCCTAGTGACATTTTGGTTAATCTAATTAAGGTATTGTCCAAATATGGATTTCAGAATTTTCTTCATGGGTGAGCAATGCTATTTACATTTTGTGTATAAATACAGCAATACTAAAATAATGTCATTTCTAGTGTGGCTGTTGTGAAGTTAGGAGGGAATGAAGTAAATTCATTATACCACATTATTCCTTCATCCTTTTTGGGTGTAAACCCAAATCTATCCATGTGTAAACGAAAACATGAGGGGGATCTGAGGCACACTGCCAGGCACCCCACCCATCACTTTCACACCATTTACAGTTCTCCACAAGTTTTTAGGGTGAAAGTCTGAATTGGGGGTGGGGAAACCCTGTACTTATCAAGTCTCCCAGAGAGATCTATAACAAGGGGCATAGGAAGGGGTGGGGTGGGGTTGCGGTCCTCCCCCGGTGCCATCCTTGAGGGTGTGTGTGACAAAATGGCACACCGTGGGGGGTGGCACTTACTGCAGGGCCTGGCCTGAAGTGTGCCCAAGCCACACTTTTCTCCTGGGAGTGATGTGGTAGCTCAGGGCCCCATGCTGCCCGAAACGGCAGCATGGGGCTTGCGTCCGCCAGACAGACTCCATGGGCAGCTTGCTGCACCACCCCCCAGGGTGAATCGCCCCACCCCACCGCTCCGGGTGCCGAAGCAGCTAGCTACGCCCCTGTCTACAACCTTGTTTGTACTCATTAGCTCCATTTCAAAACCAGTGGCAAAATGTGAATACAGTGGTACCTCAAGTTACAATTGCCTTAGGTTACAAATGCTTCAAGTTATAAACTCCGCTAACCTGGAAGAGTTACCTCGAGTTGAGAACTTTGCCTCAGGATGAGAATGGAAATCGTTTGCCAGTGGCACAGCGGCAGCAAGAGCCACCATTAGCGAAAGCACCCCTCTAGTTAAGAACTGTTTCAGGTTAAGAACGGAACTCCGGAACGAATTAAGTTCGTAACTAGAGGTACCACTTTACCTTGTCAACTACTCAGTTACCAGTTCTAATTATTAGCCTTTAAAAAATGTCCAAGGAGCTGCCAAATGACATGACGACCAAGAACAATGATTGTGGCAGACAAGCAGAAGAACAATGCTTGGATAGTGTGTGCAACCATTGGCCCACAAGCTTCAAACAGCATAAAATGTCAGAGTAACCCTTGGTGAAGTCTGCAGCATGTGCTCCTTCACACTCAGAAAGCTTGTGATGAGTGGAACTGCCTCCTAAAAACTATTTTTAAAAAGCATGTTTAATTTATTTCAAGAAAAACTGGAAAGGGGTGCAATGATTCTGGAACCCACAAATCCCCAGGATCTGAAAGCATGGTTCTAAGCATAAATGACCATGTAGAACTCTGGGGATCGGGAAATCCTCTGAGGTTTGATTGCCTGCTTTCTGGACTGCAGGTATGATGTTGTAACGAGTTAAGTTAAATTTGTGGTTAAACTATCAAAGGTGCGAGGTCCATTCTCATAGCACCCCTCTGCAGGAAACACCTGAGTTAACTTGGATGCTTTAGCTAATGCATGAATAAATGCCTGTAGTTGAAAAGTACATATGGAAAGTACAAAGAAATGTGCCAAGGCGCATGTCTTGGACAACCAGGATGGCAAAAGCTACCCAGTCACTGCTCAGTCTCAACTGTGAAACCTGTTGCAAGGGGAAATCGCTGCTGATTTTTGTACACGTTTACATTGGACTATATGAGATTTTTCTTTGGTTGTCTACAGGAACTCACCAAGCCTGGAGCCCAGGACAGAGAGCCAAAGAGACACAGAGGAGCCATCATCATAAAAAAGAAGAAGCAAGGATGGCTCTGCTCTGCTGTCTCCACCACTGTGAACATGAAGAGCAAAGAGGACCTTGGATGTCTGAGAAGACCTGATCCATCAATGTTCTCTGCTCCTGGAGTAAAAAAATCCATACAATCTGCCTAACCCAGAGAGACAATGATCTACATGAGAGGTATAGTTTGCTTTGTATGTGCTTTTATTAGCCTCTTATTGCTAAATGCGTTATGCTAATGTGCTTAAACAAACTGATTAATTCGTGAACTCTTGACCTAGTCTGTTCAGCTGAACCTAAAAGAGGCTGTGGTTACTGTAATTGGCTTACAGACAGCAACACAGTTCTACAGAACTGGAGTAGCCAGCAGGGTTCCAGGACACGGTTGAAACAACAGAAACAACACAGAGTGGGCCCATCTGGGGCAGAGTTAAGCCTACTGGGATAGCTGCAGACAGTCTGAGCCAATAGGCAATTTGAGTCATGGGAACTGAAAAACAACGAGCACATTTGCACTAATAGGAGAAGGCAGTGATTGGTTGTTGCTTGCTATATTATTTGTTGCATATAAAATCTAAACCTTTAAACCTGGAACTTGCTTTCTGCCCTGTCAAAAGCCACCTCTCATTTGGAATGAAAGGAATGAAAAAGGGGAATTATCCAAAACTAGGGAAGGTGAGTCAAGGTATGCCCTCCAGATGTTGTTGACCTACAACTGCCATCATCCCTTGCTCATCCAACAACATCTGTAGGGCATGACATTGGCTGCTGACGCATTAGGCTAACTTGAACTTTTCTGATTATGTTTGTGGTGCACCTTCCCCAAGCTGGTGCCCTTCAGCTGTTTTGGAATACAACTCCCACCAGCTCCTCCAGCACTGGCTAATGGGAATTGAAGTCCAAAACAGCTGGAGGGCACTAGGCTGAGGAAGAGTGACCTAAATGGAGAAAAGAAAAGAAAGGCTGCAATAAGAAAGGTGCTGTAGCAACATGGAATGTGGCAACAATCCTACACACTAAGCTACAAGATTTGTCAGAAAAGAAAAAACCAGCTTCAGATGGCAGAAAGCCAAGTTCATAATATAGACACCAACATTTTGGCATGCTTCTAAAAGATGGAAGGAAGTGGTGTAAGGGTCATAGTTCAAAGACAGAGCGTCTTGTTAACATGCAAAAGGTTCCAGGTACAATCTTCAGCAACTCCCATGTAGGGCTGGGAATAACCCCATTTCAAATTCCAGAGTACTGCTGCCATTCAGCATAGACAGTACAGTGGTACCTTGGTTCTCAAACTTAATCCATTCCAGAAGTCCATTCCAAAACCAAAGCATTCCAAAACGAAGGCACGCTTTCCCATAGAAAGTAATGCAAAATGGATCAATCCATTCCAGACTTTTAAAAACAACCCCTAAAACAGCAATTTAACGTGAATTTTACTATCTAACGAGACTATTGATCCATAAAATGAAAGCAATAAATAATTACTGCAGTCACACAATCAATCAACCAGTAGCTGAACTGGGTTCCACACAGTCACAAAAACAAAACAAAAAAGCCGCAAAAACAAAAACGCAAAATAAATAGCAAAAACAGACAGACCTCAGCGTAACACTCAAAATGGAATTGTGGTACTCAAATTGGAAGCGTAACACTCAAAACGGAGCACGTTCGGCTTCCAGAAAAGGTTCGCAAACCGGAACACTTACTTCCAGGTTTGCAGTGTTTGGGTTCCAAGTTGTTTGAGTACCAAGACATTTGAGAACCAAGGTCCCACTGTACTGAGCTATGTAGGGCAATGGTATGATTCAGTGTAAGGCAGCTTACTATGTAAACATTTAACCATGTGGGGGGGGAAAGTCAAGTACTTCCTTGAACCCTGCAGCAATGAGAATATATAATAGGGGAAAACCCTGTACAACTACATAGCACAAATGACCTCCTTAATTACATCCTATGCTGCAAAGTCCAGGAAGGGCATGTCCAGGAAGGGCTATGAAAGCTTGTGTCACGGTAAAATCATTAGTCTTTCAGGTGCCACAGGGCTCTCTGTTGTTTCTGAAGAAACAGACCAGCGTGGGTACGTTGTCATGTATGGTTATTACCACAAGTCCCCAAATCACCTTGAAATGAGCCACAACTGGAAGATAAAACCAGGACTCCATGTTAACTCTTTTAAACAGCATTAAGCCAAGAAAACGAGCAAATGAAACTATAAAGACAAGAGAAGCTTTTTGGGTTTATGAAAATCCTAAGCATATATGTGACAGGCAAAATATCTTTGGCTTAATCTCCAGCTTCTCCACATAGGGGCAGGGCAGCCAGCCACTGTAGACGTAAAAGCAGGAGGAGGAGGAGGAGGAGCATCTCCACCCCCATCGTTCTGCCCGGACACTGAGGTCCAGCTCCGAGGGCCTTCTGGCGGTTCCCTCACTTTGAGAAGCCAAGTTATAGGGAACCAGGCAGAGGGCCTTCTCGGTAGTGGCGCCCGCCCTGTGGAATGCCCTCCCACCAGATGTCAAAGAGAAGAACGACTGCCAGACTTTTAGAAGACATCTGAAGTCAGCCCTGTTTAGGGAAGCTTTTAATGTTTAACAGACCACTGTGTTTTAATATTTTGTTGGAAGCCACCCAGAGTGGCTGGGGAAACCCAGCTAGATGGGTGGGGTATAAATATATTATTATTATTATTATTATTATTATTATTATTATTATTATTACTATTAGGCCAATGGTGCATCTAGTCTAACATCCTGTTCTCACAGTGGCCACTCAGATTCCCGTGGGAAATTCTCAAGCTGGACCTGAGTACAAGAGTACTCTCCTGTGGTTTCCAGCAACTGATATGCATTACTGCCTTCAAACATGAAGGCAGAGCATTCATAGCCTTATCTTCCAAATACTCAGATGGACCAATGATCTGGTTTGTTATAAGGAAGCTTTCTGTGTCCCTAAATTACCAGCCTAGCCTGTCCATATTACTTGACACTATTGACTACACCATGAATCAAGTCCCTCCCTCCCCCCTCTCTCCTTCTGTGTGTGTGTTTGTGATGGCAAAGATTTTTTTTTAAGTGATGGAGATAGTCTTCTCAATGAGCCTACAGATAAGTGACCATTTAGCAAATCTGTATTCAGACTCTGAAGTCCACACTCTGTGGCTTTACATAGGTACAGTGATGTAGTGGGGGTGGGGAGCAGGTGAACATGGCTCCAAGACTTACTGAAGAGCAGGAGTGATGAGGTCATTTGTCAAAGCACCAGAGAAATCTATGAACCCATTTTGTTCTGGGAAGTGAATGAAGTGATAATGAGGCTTTTAAGTTTGTTTTCAGGTTGGAATAAGAGACTCATATGCCCCTCACAGAGCTGCAATTTCCAGAATGGTTTAACAATACCTCTTCCCAGGAAACTCTGGGAATTGTTACTTTTTTGGGCGGGACTAGGGGTCCCCTAACAACTCTCAGCACTCTTAACAAACTATTGTTCCCAGGATTCTTTGAGGGAAGCCATGACTCTTTGAAGTGATATGATACTGCTTTAAATGCATAGTGCAGATGGGACCTAACATAGAGGAAGTTGGTTGCATTTCAACTAGCAGTAGATACTTTGTTAAAGTTCTCTGTGTTTGACAAATTGCACCCACATATTCAGAAAAAATCACCACTGAGATCTTTCCCCAGGTGACCGTGTACAGTGGTACCTTGGGTTAAGAACTTAATTCGTTCTGGAGGTCCTTTCTTAACCTGAAACTGTTCTTAACCTGAGGTACCACTTTAGCTAATGGGGCCTCCTGCTGCTGCCACGCTGCCACTGCACAATTTCTGTTCTCATCCTGAAGTAAAGTTCTTAACCTGAGGTACTATTTCTGGGTTAGCGGAATCTGTAACCTGAAGTGTATGTAACCCGAGGTACCACTGTATAGGATTGCAGTCATAGTGATTACTAACATTTTTGGCATTGTGCTATGTACTACTACTATTTGAGATGCATGTGTGTGTGACAGATAAACACAGCAGCTTGCATTTCTGAAGTCTTATTGGGAGTGTGGCTAGGGTGATGGGGAGCTCCTGCTTTTAAAAATTCACCGCTACATCACTGTTCAGGAAGCTGAAATGCCCACAATGCTCATGGAAAACCTTGGGTATAGGTCTCATAAGAGGAACATTTACCAGACCCAAAGGAGTGATGAAAATCCTCCATCACTTCCCCCATTCACACAAATGATTGGTACTGCATGCTTGCTGTTTTCATGCCTAGGCAGTTTGCCTCAGTAGTTTGTAAAAGTGATTAACATTTTTCCCTGCTGGCATTCTGTACCTTTAAGCAAGTAAAATTGCAATTGCACCTAATATATCTGCTGCTGCTTCTTTCAGAGGGCTTCTGGTGAGCAAAGGCAAATTGCCATATGTATCAACTTCAGTAAAGAAAATTAAAGCTGCAACTTCATTTGCTGCTCTCCTGAAGCTGGATATACTTGTAGATGCCAAACACGTATGCAGACACAAGTAAAATAGGTGAAAAGAGGGTAATGATTATGAAGTGTGATGGTCAGGCAGGAACAATGTGGGGTTGTGCACTGACCACTAGAAGCTGTTCATACCCTAATCTGGTGCTTTGGAAAATAGCCTGCCCCAGCCTGAGAGGCTTTGTAGGCTGCCCAATTTGGCCCCATCTGAGTCTGCTTCATGCCCTGAGCTATTGGGAGATCAAAACAATGGTTTACTTTTCTTTTTACAGAAATTGGTGAAATTTGAAGGCATAGTAGCCCCTCCAATCTACAGGCAAATATGTCCTGGCTCTTTTGTGGTTGGCCCCTTAAAGTTTGGGTTTTTGGAAGGGGAGAAATGGACAGCCCTATACCCATTTTGAGGAAAGAATTGCTTTTTGAGGAATTGCTTTTTGAGGAAAGGGACAGAATTGGATAAAATTTGCTGGCAATGTCACTCTTCTGAGGTCGTGTATCTTGCTGACTTTGAGAAGGATAGCTGTAGTGGCTTTTCTGCAAGGGTAGTCAATTCAGTTTGGAAGTAAATAAGAAATGTATCACTTAATTTCCCCCAGTGTTTAGTTGGCAATTGCTCTGAAAATTGTAGACATGAGAGAGGTGTGGTGGGTAAGGAACCAGCCAAGTCACAAACAAAAAGCCATGGCACATTTGAAGCTGATTTTTGAAGGGAAGAACCAAAGGGGATTTTTCTTCTGAATAAAACCACTCCCCTTAAATAAAATTTTACCTGTCAATCACAACAGAGCTTTCCCTCTTCCCACATTGGTGTTTGTTCTCCCCTCCCCTAACACTCTACTCCAACATCATTCCTTGTATAGTAAGCTTAGAGACATCACTTTTGCATTTAGCAGAGTGTTGTCCGCAGCATTTTTTAAGATGCCTGGATCAAAGACCTGTGTTTTGACTCATGCAGACTTGTACTGAACGTGTTTCACCTCTGACAAGTCCAAAATCCCTCCAAGGCCTTGACACAGGATTCATCCAAATATGACACACACCCATACATTTTAGTTTCCACTCCAAAATAAGTAATCAACTGTATTTGAATAGCAAGTTTAATGACAAACTGTATTTGAATAGCAAGTTTAAGTACAAGAACTACTTCCACTTCCCCAACCTGGTGCTCTCCAGATATTTCAAACATAAATAAGAATGACATAACTGTTCTTGCCCTAACAGTTAGGTGTGGCTCATCCTTCAGGGTGAAGCGGTGATGCAACTCATTGCTTCCCTCATCCCACTTACAATTTCTTCCCAGCAACAGAAAGTTCCTGTAAGTCATGTTCCCACAGCTGTGAAGGTTTAACATGTCCTTCGTGCCTAGATGAAGAAAGGTAAAAGCCCAAGACACACAACACTAAGGTGATATTTAAGCTCCATTATAAAAAAAAAAGCAGAAAAATTGTCACTCTTTAAAGAAGACTGCCCAAATGTTTGTGGCTGTGCAGAGATTGTAGCAGAGGTGCAATTAAGGTACAAAATATAAAACTGCTTGATTTATTATTATGTAACTCAGCTCACAGACCATTATTTTCAACGGAGGGCAAGAGTGCTGTTAGATGAGAGTGGTGGCCCTTATAGTGGCAACTCTGGTGGTACTGGGCTGCAGTGGCTGGGCATTTCTCTGGTGCAGATCTGCCCTCTTTAAAGGCATTATTGCCCTTGGTCTCAAAGCTGAGAGAAGGTTGGTGCACCTGGTTGCTCCTGGCAGCCTCAAGCTCATGATGAAAAGGTTGTCTGCAATGTGTTTTACAAGGAAGCTTGAATAGCACCTGTAAGTGAATTATCCAGAGAACTTGTTTAGCTGAGCATGAAGAACCCTAACTATATGCTCAAATGGGCTGCAGTGGATAAAGTATATGACCCGGCCACAGATTTGTTCAGTTCATGATGTTCATGTTTGCTTTATTTTGAATAAGTCCCATTTTTTCCCCATGGGAATGGGTTAGGTCTGCACAAGTTATTTCAAGACTTGGGTGTTAACTACAGGCTGGAAGGTTTGGAGGCTGGCTATGTAATCTCTCTCATCTGATGTCCCCAGCTGCTCTTAGTATGAACTATCATAAAAATGTGTCCTCTAGTAAGGTATAATATTCTATCTGAATGTAGCAGGCAAGTCTCTGGTCAATGTACCGTTCAGTAATCACAAAAGACTACAGAAAGAAAAATTAAAGGAACTATTCATTCACCCTTAGGTCAGGTCACTCTAGGTCATGACTACAAGTACATACACATGGCTTTACATATACAGTTCACATCGTTTCCAAATATATTTAGCTGCAACCTAACCTCACAGAGCTTTTTCTGTATGCTTGTGTATTTACACGCATCGAGGTGAGGTGGAAAATGTGCAAGTTAACAGTCCAAACCTAGAGGGTTGCTGCAGGAACACAGAAACTTGGATGACTGAACAATTAATTGTCAGCCCCGCAGGCTACGTAGGAGTTTTTGGAGTTATCGCATCAATGATCTCTTCATGCCGCAGCAGAGCTGTGTCATGCTCAGTTCTGCCCTATCCTAACTTAGCTTACTATTAACACTTCCTATCTCCTTGGCATCACTTGGGCCACTTCAAGGTGCTTGCAGGATCCAGCCAAGAAAACTGGGGTGGTTCCACTGCTTTCTGAGAAGTTTCTCTCCTCCCCCCCTTACGCATACACAATGGGGCTGGCTGCTGCAGAGGTGGCCTTGAATTTCTCAAACACATTTTGTGGAGGGCTGCAGAGCAGTGGTGGAGTATTTGCTTTGCATAAAGAAGATCTCCATTCCAGTCCCTGGCATCTCCAGGTAGGGCTGGGTGAGACCCCTGCCTGCAACTCTGCAAAGCTACTGCTACTCAGTTTAGACAATACTGAGCTGGATGGACTGAGAGTCTTATTTGGTATGAGGCAGCTTCCTATATGCACATGTTTGTAGATATGATAGGGGCCAAAAACAGTGATGGCAGTTTCTTCTCATTATCTGTCTGTCCAACCACCTTCCCCTGTGACCATTTCCCCCTTCAACAAGCCACCCAGAAATGATCCTACAGGTGACTCTCAACTTATGTGGGGGCTACATTCCAGGGATAGTGCATAAAACTGAAATTGCATAAAGACAAAACACATTGGGTGCAATGGAAGGTGGAGTTGCCAAAGCCTTTCCCCCCGGAAGCCCACTCCCTTTTCCATTTATTTTTGCTAAGCACGAAAATTTGAATGCACACAAGTTAAATGTGTTTGAGTTGTGTATTATAGGCAACAACTGATTTACACATGTCTGATGTGTGATTGTGCATGTGCTGAACCCGGAAGTGACCAAAAAACATCACTAAAATGTTGCTAAAGGGGAGGAACGCTGACGCATGTGGGGGTCCAGAACATAACCCCCATAGAAGGGGGTTCATAGAAGGCATGGTTGTTGTTCTGGTGGAGTGCTGCTACCTAGCACTCAACAGCCTCATTCTAGTGTGAATGTGAATGTATGACACCACACACACATATCCTAGCTCTTTGCCGTGCAGTTAATTCCAAATTGTCTTTTGCTCTCTTATGCACTTTAAAACGGTGTTTGTTTGATTGTCATTTAGTGGCTGATCTGTGATTGTAACAACAAAGATTGATTGAATTAAAAAATATGTTATTTTTAAAAAACAAACAGCAGCTTTTCAGGTAAAACTGTTGCAAAAAATAAATCAATCATAACTTCTCCCATCTCTGAGGATGTATTGCTTTTTCAGAGCCCCTTCCCAAAGACCACACAAAGTTCCATGAAAAATTTAACAGTGGAGCTTCTGGGCAGGTTCTAGTTTATATACCACTATATCAAAGAATATAATGTTACAGACAGGGGAACCCTGCATTTCCAATTGTGATCTACTTAAACTATGCAACAAGTAAAACAGTGCTAGCCAAACAGTGTTAAGGGATATCTCCAAATTATTGACTGTGTTCTCAGGGGAGACTGATGCTCATTGTGTTCATTGGAAATCACAGCGACTCAGCTCCTATTACCTGTGTAGGCCAAGTGCCAGGGATGTGTCTAGCTGTAAAAGAGATACTATTCAGTTTCTCTCTAAACAGTCTCCAGAAGGGACCAATCCAACTGAGGGATTACCCTGGTTTTTCACATTCATGCATCTTTTGAGATTGCGAGGTTATAAAAAGTTTGCACTGTCATAACTGCTCCAGTGTTCCAGTGGTTTGATTTTTCAGGCTAGATATCCTACATCAGAACTGGCTCACCCAAGTCAGATATTGGACAGAATTTGAATTCAGATGATATGGTAAGCCACAAACTATGGTTTGCTGCGAAGGAGCAGCATGCCCAGTGCATACTGATGATTCACTCCTGCTGCCCTCCTCTTCTAACATGAGCAAAAGCAGCACACCACAAACCCTGGCTCATCAGGGCAATCAAATCAGAGCTTATAGTTTGTGGTTTGTTCAGGGACACAAACCATGAGTCAGGGTTCAGACACCTCAGGAAGCGGGAATGAACACACATTAGCACACTGCTTATTCATGGCAAGCCATGGTTTATGGCTTACCAGATGGGTAGCAAACATGGTACCCTTCAGATATTGATGGACAACAACTCCAATCAGCCCCAACCAGCTTTGCCAAAGGACAGCGATGATGAGAGTTGGAGTCTAACAACACCCACATTGGCTACCTCTGGCTTACTGTGTCATCCAAATCCAGCCCAAGAGTGATTCACAGAGGGATACATTATCATTATGGATCTTTCATCAGCACTGGCATAGATTTCATCTGAGGAAGTGCAAAGGATGAAAAATCTCTTAACCCAAGTCTCCTGTTTTAATTGCTGTGTTGACTTAATTGGACTTTCCCCCATATTTTAATTATGGGTATTTGTATTTTATTTTTTTAAATAGGTTCTTTTACTGTTTTAATTATAGGTGTTTGTTTCTTATCTCCAATGCTGTTTGCTGTCATGAGGCATTTTGGGGTGAGATGCCACCAGCGTGCTGATGATACTCAGCTTTAGTTCTCCATAACCCCTGAATCTGGAGAGGCTTTGGAAACCCTCACCCTGACCCCTACCCACAAACTGCTTCAGGAACAGATCCAGGAGGGGTTAAGTGGGCCTTGGCCCCCAGGCAGTACAGGGCGAATCAGTATAATTGGTTGGGGGTCATAGGATGGATAGGGACATGAACAGCCTTGGTTGCAAATATTTGGTTACAGTAACTACTTTCCCCACACCCTTAGCTTTCTGAGGGACTGAATGGTGTGCCAAACAAAACAAAATGTATCTTTTTATGGCTACAGTAGCAAACTGACCAGGATGTAATGTTACTGCTCTCCTGTTTCTGATACAGTTATCCCATTTGCAACAGTGTCATTTCCCATCCTACCCAAATTAAATTTGCTCTCTCAATGAACAGTAGCTCTGCTATTAGTAAAAGGCAAGCGAGACACAACACAGTCAGTGTGCACACCAGTCTGCATTAACCCTTGCCAACCTGGCGCCCTCCAAATGTTTCAAAATAGAACTTCAATCAAACCCAGCCAACCTTCCTCCTCCAATTTACTGGAAAAAGCAAAAATCAGGCTGTCCTGTATAAAACGTATACCCACGCCATCAAGCATTGACCTACTACACTTTCTCATGCCCTCATGATTAACCTTCCCCCCTCTCACTCTTTCTTTAAATTAAGTTGTAAGGCCAAAGCTCATCTATTTTTATGCTATGTCTGTGAGTAAATTATCAATGATATTTTTTTTATTGTGACTTTGGACCAGAAGCTGCTCCCTGTTACATTTCAGCAAAGTGTCCAGCAAAATGAGTTGATTTTGTGTGGGCCACCCTGGTGTTATTACTGAATCATGGTGCTTCCAATTTTCCAGGGTGCTTTTTTAAAAAGGAGGAAGTTTCAGCTCATGACACCAACTGGAAGGAGTGCTGAACACATGGGAGAGCTAGACTCCTCTACCACCTTGCAAGGGTGGGGTGTCTGAGTGGTCTTGGGTGGGGTATCTGGGTAGTCTTGGAATTAGCATCTGCTTCCTGCCCATCACATTTCTGATTCATTTCTGCTTAAGGCTTGCAAGAAGTATTGACAGATCTAGAATAATGCTTTGCAGCTTCAGATGTTATAATGAATTGCTGCAAGAGGAAGCAGAAGCAATTTGGCCTTATGTTTGAGTCTCCAATGTTGAAGGAGGGACTTGCAGAGCTGCTTTGGGGAAAGATAGGAAAGTTTCAGAAATGCATAATACAGTCCATGCATCTTACTGTGTGGAAAACACACACACACTCATTTTATATGTTCCACAGACAATATGACATAAATGTAATTTGTGCTTTCTCTCCTGCATCTATAGAACATCTGAAAATGCCCTTTGTTGTGAACAGGAGTAAGGATAATGTGATATGGACTCTGTAATATGTTGCAAATGCTAACAGGGGATGAAATGAAGAAAGGTCTAGCTGCGTTATATCTGCATACACATTTCTGATGATTTATTTAAATGATTGCATTAAAAGCAATTCAAACCTGGCACTCTATATTTAAAACACACTTCCAGATCAATGTTTAAATGAGTCCTGTCTCTTTCATGAACTACAATGAGCTTTTGTTTTTGAAATTAGTCACTCTTTGCTTTTTAAAAAGGTAACATTTACCTAATGAGAGAGAATTTATTTTGCAGGACAAAATCAGCCTCTTCTGCTACTAACAGATGCACTTCAGTGTAATTAGTTTCATGACTATTAATGAAATAAATCATTTGAGCTTCTGCCACTCAAATGTTAATGAGGGGGACTGAACAGTGGCTTTGTAATGGGATCTAGATCCATTTACCTCTGGTTCATTAGTTCAAATCTGTCCACTGTCTACAGTGACCATGGGTCACTTTTGCCTGAAGGATATTTAAGCTGTGCAATTCAACAATTGTTGTCAGCACTCCAAGCATCATAATCTTGACCAAATCAATGTCCTCCTCTAAAGACGCCATTCCAAGACTACTGCACACTTTATTATTTTGTTTAACATTTTGTTGTGGCAGCTAACAGGGCTCTCCCATTCATTTGCTGACCAGACCCAAACCTGCTAAGCTTCAGCAAGGTGGCCGTATCATGTGTGTCTCCAGACCATGCACAAATTATTCAAGCACAGCAATTCACAGCAAGTAAATTTAAAGCTCTTTACAGTAAACAGTACTTTCAATATAATGTCTATCCTTTCTAGACTTTTTTACAATTCATGTAAGATTCCCCAGTGTGCTTTCCCCCTCCTCCAGTGTAGACATCCCATTGCAGGGATACTATTTTTGCCAACACTTGATCCGCAAAACTTTGTACCTTGGAAAATACTATTCATAGTTGCACTTTTGAAACTTGGCCCACAATCCCTACTTGTGTAGAACAATCTTGTGCATGTTTATTCAGGAGTAAGTCCCTCTAGCAGAGCTTCTTCCAAAGTAAATGCACAAAGAATTACAGACTTAATGACTGAGAAATATGCATTTCATTTAAAAATAAAAGGAAATGGCCTTCTTTTTAAAAATGCTATATTCATAGTGTTTGGGAGTGTTGCACTGGAGGCTGAAAAGTGATCTCAAAGCAACCAGTTTATACCAACTTGAATGAACATTGTCATCTAAAATTGCAGTCGCTCCTTGGCTAGCTGCTTTTTCAAACATTAAATCAACTGTGCTTCATGATACTTCTCACAGGTCTTGGAACATTCTCACTCACTAGTTAAAACAGATGGATATGTTTCGGTCATTCCTAAGACAGGGATACCCAATGGATGCCCTTCAGATGTTGTATGAACTTCAGCTCCCATCATCTTTGAATAATGGTCATTCTGACAGGGGCTGATAGAGTCAAATAACATCTAGAGGGCACAATGTTGGTCACCCCTGTCCTAGAATGAACAAAGATCTATGCTAATCGATGCATCTATCTCTTTACATGGGTGATGTCATCTATGAATCATTTATCTGTGATGTAAATCTGGGGACCTTTCGTCTTTGCATGCCAACAATTTTCTTCTGAAAGTTGAGAAGGAAGCACAATAGAAGCCAGAACTTGAGAATACCTTCCAATAGCATTGAGAATACCTTCCAATAGCATTCCTGAAATAACTGTGGAGAGAGAGAATAATGAGTCTTCTCTTGACTATAGCTTCTCTAATACAAAGTAAGCAGCTTAAGAAGGCTTAGCTCATCTCTGCTTACCTAACTGAATATTTTCCTTCCATGACAAGCTAACATATACTATTCTTCCCAAGACAATACAGTTAAACACACATCCTCCCTGCGCAACAAGAGCATGCACCTGCTCTGCCCCTTCGTATCACAGCAAGGCATGCTGCCAGTCATTACCACTCTGACGCTCTCGTCCAAAGAGAGAGTCTTCATTCTGAGAAACAGCAAAACGTGTTGGTAGTTTCAGTGCTGGCAGTATTTTTACAACTGTTTCTGTATTTTGCCTGCCTTTCGGTGAATAATCATCAAGCTGCATCCAACTTCCTGAAGGCTGGCACCACTTCAGGAAGAGGCAATTGGCACTGCTCTGTTTACACAGGATCAGCCTGCAATGGAAAAGCGCCCCCTCTACAAAGAGCATGAGGTCACTTTGCTGAGCAGAGCAATCTGAATGTGGGTGAGCTAGAAAGGAGACTGGAATACAGCAGCATTTTGACATCCTCCTGCACAAAGGATTCCCTGGACACTGTTAGGAATAATAATATTGCCAGCTTAGCTACCCATTGCCTGCTAAATTATGTATTCGGACTAGTTAAGTTCATGAACAGGACATCTGTTGTTTTAAGACTAGTTGTGTGTGTGTGTGTGCGCACGCACACACACAAACACAAAATACACACATCTGTAAACAAACAAAGCCCTGCAGATCAGATGCTGTGTATATTTCAGTGATTCTGGCTCTCTGAGGCCTGCAACACAGTAAAATGCAACAGATCTTTCTTAACTGCCTGGAAGGAATGATCCGATTCTTCAAAAGAGGGGTGTGCTAGCAGTTAGCAGAGGAGGTTAGCTGAGACAGAACTGGAACAGTAGAAGCAATTTTGAAGAGCTTGTGAATACGTATCCCATATTTCTAATGTAAAGAGTTCCCTTTGCTCTTGAAATCCACACCCAGATTGCCAACACACTACAACCTGATTCATCTGAACAGCTTGGGAGAGATGCAAAGTATACACGTCATTACCAGAAGTTTGAATAACTAGGAGAGTCATTTGTTTTAAATTCTAGCTAGCCTTTTCACCCACAGTATTTTGTGTGTTTGTTCATTCTCACAGAGCTGTATGGGACACTGTCTACCTCGAGGAATTACTGTACTGACATGTTTTATCAATGCTATATATTATGCTGGGGATCATGAATAAAAATAAAAAGTATATTTGACAGGATTTGTTTTGCTTCACTCATTCACCAAAATAAGTGTCAGATTATCTTCTAGACACAAAAGATGATGCCTTGGGGAAAGTGTTTGGTAGCTATGTAAATATGCACAATCTGATTTTAGAATCATAGAAGCATAGCATAGCAGAGTTGGAAGGGGCCACAAGGGGCATCTAGTCCAACCCCTGCAATGCAGGAATCTGTGGCCCAACATGGGGCTCAAACCCATGGACCTGAGATTAAGAGTCTCATGCTCTACCAAATAGTGGTGCTGTGTAAACAAACACAGTTGTGCAAGTCATGCATTTAATTAAAATTTCTGTGGTTTTTTTTTAAAAAAACATAGTCACAAATGAGTGGGGAGAGATGAAACTCAGATATTAACTCTGGGGACCAGTGCATCAGAAATCCAGTTTCTTTAATTTTCATCCTCATGTGGACAGCTGTATATGTGTGCAAAGTTATTATTATGACTGATTATAAATGTATGCCATACCTTTATCCAAAAGGGCATATAGAGGCTTACACAAAACCAACATGGCGCAAAATGAAACCTAAAATCAGAACAAACTAAACACACAAAACAAGCAGCAGTAAAAAATAAAAAAGCAGCAGTTTTAAAAGCAATGGATCACATAATCCAAGCACTGGAAGCTATGAGATGGCACATGCCTTCACTACTTTTGCTCAAATCCTCTTGCTAGCCTGAATCAGTGTTCAGCCTGAACCAAGCTAGCCTCACTCAGCCTCAGCCTCACTGGCATTACTTGTGGTTGTCACCAGTACCATTGTTCTTCCCTGCTCCACTAACAGTAGTAGTGTATTCCTACTATTGCAGTAATTCCTCCACAGTTGCGAACAAGAAGGGAGCTTAGCAGCTGCAGTCAACATGCTTTTGAATAGCTGCTGGCCCAATGGATTCCCCACCCCTTCCACAAAAAGACAATCCACTGCTCAATCAACTAAAATTGAGATTGCAAATATGTGCAGAGCTCTAGGCATTATTTGTCCTTTCCTCCCCTGGTATATATTACTGTTCAGCCTGCTTTTTCTTCAGCCATGCTTTCAGGCACTGGCATGAACGTGAAAACAACACTGACCTTTATCTAAAGAGCATCCTTCGGTTGCATAGATTCAGGCAGGTAGCTGTGTTGGTCTGACGCAGTCGAAATAAGTTTAAAAATTAAGAAATTGTCCAGTAGCACCTTAGAGACCAACTAAGTTTGTTCTGGGTATAATAATAATAATAATAATTTATTTATACTCCGCCCATTTGGCTGGGTTTCCCCAGCGACTCCAGGTGGCTCCCAACAAAATATTAAAATACAATAACCTATTAAACATTAAAAGCTTCCCTAAACAGGGCTGCCTTCAGATGTCTTCTAAAAGTCTGGTAGTTGTTGTTCTCTTTGACATCTGGTGGGAGAGCGTTCCACAGGGCGGGTGCCACTACCGAGAAGGCCCTCTGCCTGGTTCCCTGTAACTTGGCTTCTCGCAGAGAAGGAACCGCCAGAAGGCCCTCAGCACTGGACCTCAGTGTCCGGGCAGAATGATGGGGGTGGAGACGCTCCTTCAGGTATACTGGCTGTTTAGGGCTTTAAAGGTCAGCACCAACACTTTGAATTGTGCTCAGAAACGTACTGGGAGCCAGGTCTTTCGTGTGCATGCACATGTTCAAGATACAGCAAGCTTTAGTGCATATGAAGCTTACTTACACACATCACTTCATGGGGGAAACCATGAAGCCAGCCAATGCTCCCCTTTGCAGATTATGATGAGCGGGGGAAGGTTTTCCACCCCAATATGTGGACCATAATCAGAAGGATGAGGCATGAACCAGAAACTAAACCCAGGGCCAGCCCAACCAGTAAGCAAAGGGAGGCAGTGGTCTCAGGCAGCAGATATTGGAGGTTAGGGAGCGGTGATGGGGTGTTCGGAGGACTGAGTGGCAGGTGCCACATGATCCGCCCTGCACCTCCTACCTTAACTTGCTGCCCTGCCCTCAGATGTGGTGGCCATTGGTGTTTCATTTTGATCAATGTATGTGTCATGCAGCCAATACTTTTTTTAAAAAATCCACAACCTTATGAGTCACACAGTTCTCGACTGTGCAGGCTGCAGTGCCAACAATTTCCATATTTATCAGCTATGTTGTTGACTATCACCACCTGCAAACGGAAAACTCCCAGCCCTTCCCCACCCAGGCAGATCCAGGCATGCTGTATAGCTCAGTAGTACACATGTGCTGATTGTAGAAGATTCTGGCTTTAATTCCTTGCATCTCCAGGTAGGGCTCAGAAATTCTAGAGAGCTGCTGTCAGCCAGTGTCAAAATCACTGAGCTTGATGGGCCAGCGGTCCCTGACTCTGCATAAAGCAGTTGGTTACATTCCTGTCTGCGTGCTTGTGCGAGGCAGCCCTAGGCGCTCCTGTGCAATCGGAATGCGGTGCGTTATTTGTGCATTTCCTTTTCTTCTTTTATTTGTTTTTACCACTTGCCATCTTCTCTCCCTTTGTTTACCTTTTTAACTTAAGTCAAGAAAAGTAACAGCCAGTTCCAATGGAGAAGCTGCCACAGGAAGGCTGTTTTAATTGCTTTCCCCATGGCAGTTCTCTCCGTGTGGCACATTTCACCAGAGGCACCAATTACAGAAGGGTGCGGGACCTCAAACCACTTGCTTGCCTGGATGGAGGTTAAAGAGGGTTGTGGGGGTGTAGAGAGACCTGGATACCGGCCATGTGCCACAAAGAGAAGATGCCCAGGTGCCAGGATAGTGCCTGATATCTTCACCATCTGGAGGTGCATGCCTGGGGATAATAATAATAATAATAACAATAATAATAATAATTTATTTGTACCCTGCCCATCTGGCTGGGTTTCCCCAGCCACTTTGGGTGGCTTCCAACAAAGATTAAAAATACATTAAAATCCTTGGATCTTGACTGTTTTCACACACTAGTAACACAAACCACGGGTGCTGGCTATAGGGGGCAGAAGGGGTTTCAGCCCCCTCAATATTTTGAGGCAGGGGGCTGAGCCCCCCACCCCAATTGAGGGGGCCATCATCCCCTGCCACCCCCGGGCATGCACCAGGCAGGGGTGGGAGGGTTGGAGGGCAATTTTCGCCCTCTGTGTTTCCCGCCACGGTTGCCAGAGCATCCTGGTAGGTGCCCGTATGTCCTGACAGATGTGGCCCAATGGGGGGTGGGATGTTGCACATGTGATGTCATGCATGTGCGATAGCTCCCCCCCAAATGTTGGGCCCAACTTGGTGCACCTGACATATCCTGTAGAATTCAATTTTATCTGCACAATCAGAACGCATTTCAGGAACCAAAACATTGTATTGAAAAATACAATGTTTGAACTGTCTGGCCCCCAAATGGCAACTAGACATTCCATTTTGGTGACTATAAGTCTGGTTAAAGGAGCCATTTGGCACCTAGCTTATATATCTGATCTTGCTGTTCAAGGTCCAATATGCTTTTCTCTACTCATGCCAGTATCTGTACCTTAGGTATACATATTGAGCAATAGCTATTATTCACTAGTATGTAACAACAATTATACAGCCCAGTGAGCTGCCCTTGAAACACCACAGGGTGGAACTGGCAACCATTCCTGCAGGTGACTTCCCCTTCTTCCTATGCAACAAGTTGGCAGGTGGACTGGGGTGTTCCTTCTCATTTCTGCTAAGCTTTTTAATGGTCTTCTGTCTCCATTCTGAGCAGAGAAGTTTCTGTGAGTAGGGCTAAATTTTCAACCAAGTGTGACTTTCAACTACAAAACATGAAGCCTGAAATGCTATAGCCCCATTAAAGGCCTAGCACCTTGTTTGTGACTACAGTCTTTCCCCCCATTTGCGAGTGATCAACTTGCATGTGGCCACATATATGTGCGGTGCCGGAAAATAAATTAACAATTTGATTCATACCTGGAAATGGCAGGAGCAAGCTGGAGACTCTTTGTGGCTCACGAGGAGACCCTCCCCAGAGCCTGAAGAGGATGGAGGAAGCCCCAAAGCGTCTAGAGGTGCAGCAGAGCTTTGTTTATGCTGCTCAGCCTCCCCACCTAACAGCTGATGTGCAGCGTAGTGCAGCAGCAACAGATGCGCTTTGCTGTGTATCCTCCAGCCTCCCACCAGCTCCAGAACTTCAGTTCTAGCTGTGGATATTTTTTGATACAGTATTTTTGGTATGGATTGAAGAGAGAGGGCATTTAAAGGGTGTTTAGAGAGTGCCCCCCCCCCACATTACGCGATTTCTCACTTATGTGCGCAGGGCACCAGAACATAACTCCTATGTAAGTGGTGAGTCCTCTGTGTTTGAACCACCCAGTTTTGAAAAGTTCACATAGTGTTGTTCATCGAACATTTCCGTGGGATTTTGTTGTGTACGTTGAAGTACACATGGACAGGACTAGGACAAAATAATTCCTAGTATAATGCTGCTGAGTTGGATTCCAACAACTGATGATGCTATATGAATTCTGTTATTCAGTAAAGACATTCATTACTGATGACTCTGCTGTGATTTCAGTACAGTGGTACCTCGGGTTACATACGCTTCAGGTTACACACTCTGCAATCCCAGAAATAGTGCTTCAGGTTAAGAACTTTGCTTCAGGATAAGAACAGAAATCATGCTCCGGCGGCGCAGTGGCAGCGGGACGCCCCATTAGCTAAAGTGGTGCTTCAGGTTAAGAACAGCTTCAGGTTAAGAACGGACCTCCGGAACGAATTAAGTACTTAACCCGAGGTACCACTGTAATTACATTTACTCAATCTTGCGCTAGAACAAATGTAGATCAGGAAGTCTTAACATGCATTAACATCTACAATTCTTCTAGCATGCATGTGATACTTGTTTCCTCCTGTGGATACAAGAGCACATGTGCGGAGAGATCCCTACAAACTCAACCATTTCTAGCTGCCCTGCTCAGTTGGCTACACTTGGGCAGGTGTACAGCCACTGTAGTATGGCAATTTTTGGAAATAAGGAATCTGTGTAACATTTTGGAAATAAGAAATACTCCTCTAGCTCTCTCCTTCTAGCACAATCAAATTGTGTGAGTCCCAGAGTAGGGAAGGATCACATTCAAAGTGCGGTTGTTGCTGTTGTTTTGCAACAAACAATAGAAAGTCCAAATAAATTATATTTCTGCCTCATGCAAGAAACATATTGAGGTCCTGTTTGGAAGAAGAGAATGCCTTGATGCAGACAATTCATCACACAATACAAGAAGCAATACATTTCTCCCTAGGGATGCCACAAAACACATCTTTCAGGTCTCTTGGCCAATCACACAGTTCAAAACCGACACCACAGCATCCTTGAATGCTTCTTCAGCATCACAAATTTTCAAACTATATTATTTAAATGCTTTAACCTCAGGCTAAACTCTGCTATCCCAGCAAAAAGCAAACAGAAAATTGCAACTCATTCTGGTCAGGCAAACCAAATAAAGTTGCCTTGTTTGGGTGCAGTAATTTTCATTTTTTACATCAATTAGTTTCTAATTTAATTCTCGAATCACAAATTATATACACCTTCCTCAAATGTTCCATTATGTAGTGGGCAAATGATAGCAGTTAGTTGTAGGAAGCACTGCCCCTCAAATCATTATTCCTTATCAGTATCTGTGGTGAAATACAGCTGCGAAAACCCTGTCTTGTTGCAGCCCTCTCTCCAGCTACCCCTTCCATCTTTGTGCCAGTAGGACATTATAGTACTGAGAAATCTCATGTGACCCTCCTACACCATAGGTTGCTAATGTAGTTCTTTGATCACTCATCATGGGATGCCAAAGGAGTCACAACGCGTTCCTGCCTCTCACCCAGGGGGAAGTTTTAAAAGACTTACAAGGCCTTAATGTTTTTATATGCAACCACCCTCTCAAGAACATTGCCCAATAAGGTGAGACTGGCAACACGCCAGGAATTACGGTACTTATGATTTTCTGAATCCACGGAGGATTTCTTTAGGAGTAGTTTTACCACTGCCTTCTTCAAGCAGACAGGGACCAGCCCATCTCACAATGAGGCACTAGTCACCTCCATGGCCCAGCCAGCTGTCAACTACCTTCTACTTTTCATTAGCCAAGATGGGCAAGGGTCCTAAGAGCAAGTGGTCACGATGACCAAACTAAACTTCTTGTCTATGTCCTCCAGCCTTACCAATTGTATTCTTGATCACACAGAAGAAGGGAATGGATCCTGACCACTGCAACTGAGTGCTGTTTGGCACCCGCTTATGAGAGATTCCTTTCCTTTGCACTGTGCTAGACAGCTACATTCTGAATAATTCATTCTGCCACAGCAGCAAAGCCTATATAAGCAAAATACAAGTGTGGGTGTCACAGAGTGTAGGGAAAAGGGGAGCTCATTTGCCTAAGAACTCAAAGTTTCATCTTACCTTATGGCACGGTGCCAGGTATATACCCAGAACATTTGTTTTGCTTTTTTATGACAGAACCAGGATGCAAAAATGTGCTCTCGTCCAGTTTACAGTTCCTAGAACAATTTAAGTTCCTTCCCCTTTCAGTTTCTGGATGACATCTGATGTACAAAAGAAATGGAAGTGATGTCGATTGATGTTCTCCCTGCCTTAAAATAGGTGGCATGGAATATGTTTTTCTCACAACAGAAATAGAAATCCAGAAAATGGGGCAGATCTATTTTCTTGCAAGAAACTCTCTTTCTTCATGTGCCCTTTCCATGGCTAATTGGACGCCATTCTTTTCATCTGAAGCCAGTGCAACTGTGTAGGATGGTTTGAAGTTAGAAGAGTGTACAAGAACTTCTAGGGAAGTACCCACACAAAGCAGGTGCTGCTCAGAAAGAGTCCTAGATCAAATAGTGCCAAAGTGAGAAGCATGACTTCTTCCCATATCAGAAGGGATCATAACTCAGGGAGCCCATGCCTTCGATCTCAGGTGATATGGAAGATCTAAACTGTGAGCTGCCAGCCAGGGTAGACAAATGTTGCATTGTCCTGCTTTTGCTAACCTATTGTGCAGGTTATAGTGCCCTTCCTGATGGCAATAATGGGGCAGCCGGTGCAGAAGATCCCGACAGACCAAAAAGACCAGCTGAATGCCCCAATAGAAAAAGAGGAAGTAAAAGAGGTGATAAAAGAGCTGAAGACAGGGAAAGCTCCGGGACCTGATGGATTTACATCTAGTTATTATAAAGAAATGAAAGATGTGTTGATGACCCCTTTGATGGAAGTTATGAATAATATTTTAAAGGAAAGAGATATCCCAGAAACGTGGAAAGAAGCATATATTACATTGATTCCCAAACAGGATTCGGATCTAACCCAAGTTAAAAATTATAGGCCTATCTCGCTGTTAAATACGGATTATAAAATATTTGCGGGAATATTAGTGAAGAGATTGAAAAAGATATTAACAAGACTTATACATAAGGATCAAGCAGGTTTGCTACCAGGCAGACAAATGAAAGATAATATAAGAAATATAATTAATGTTTTAGAATATCTGACTGCTAGGAACGATAAACAGGCAATTTCAATGTTTGTGGATGCTGAGAAGGCCTTTGACAATGTTATATGGGAGTTTATGTTGAAAAATTTAGAATATATGGAGGTGGGGAGAGAGTTCCTCAATGGTATAAAGGCAATCTACACAGAACAGAGAGCAAAAATGATAGTTAACAATGTTATTACTGAAGATATAAAAATATCTAAAGGAACAAGACAAGGTTGCCCACTTTCGCCATTGTTATTTATAACGGTTCTGGAAGTCTTTTTAAATGCAATTAGACAAAATAAGCAAATAAAAGGGGTGACAGTAGGTCGGAATGAATATAAAGTTAAAGCCTTTGCCGATGATTTGGTAATGACTTTGGAAGAACCAATAGAAAGTGTAAAAGAGGTATTGGATGAGATGGAACAATTTGGAAAGGTAGCTGGATTTAGACTGAATAAGAGAAAGACCAAAATGATTGTAAAAAATATGGAACAAACCAAGATTGAAATAATGCAGCAAAACAAACGGAGATAGAGGTAGTGAAAAAAGTAAAATATTTGGGAATTTGGTTATCATCTAAGAACATTGATTTGTATCAAAACAACTATATTCCAGTTTGGAAGGGAATAAAGAAGGATCTGGAGGTGTGGGGTAGAATGAAACTATCCTTCTGGGGAAGGATATCTACGATAAAGATGAGCGTGCTGCCAAAGATGTTATTTTTATTTCAGACTATACCCATTATAAAGGGTATAGGAATTTAAAGAATGGCAAAGAGTGATTTCAAGGTATATCTGGCAGGGGAAGAAGCCAAGAATAAAATTTAAGTTATTGACAGATGTAAAAGAAAGAGGTGGCTTCGCCCTGCCAGATTTGAAATTATATTACGAAGCGGCTTGCCTATGTTGGTTAAAAGAATGGATAAAATTAGAAAACAAGGAATTATTAGACCTCGAAGGTTTTGATAACAGATTTGGTTGGCACGCGTATTTATGGTGTGACAAGAAGAAAGTTCATAAGGGTTTTGGAAACCACATCTTCAAGAGTTCTTTAATAGAAGTATGGGATAGATACAAAAATATATTGGAGCCAAAAGTCCCACATTGGTTGTCTCCGCTGGAGGTAATGAGTGTTAAGAAAATTAATATGAGAGGCAAATGGAGTACATATGGTGAATTGGTAATTAAAGAAGGAGTTAAATGGAAATTTAAACCATTTGAACAAGTTAAAGATCATGTATATGATTGGCTGCATTATCTTCAAGTAAATGAAATGTTTAAAAAAGATCTGAAAGAAAAGGGTATGTAGAAAAAGAATCTAATTTTCAAACAGATATAATAAACAATGAATATAAAACTCTGTCAAAAATGTATAAGATATTGTTGGAATGGTATACGAAAGATGAAGAGGTTAAATCGGTAATGATACAGTGGGCAAAAGATTTTGGGTACAATATCCAATTTGATGAATGGGAAAAACTGTGGAAAGAGAATATAAAATTTACTGCATGTATGACATTGAAAGAGAATGTTATGAAAATGTTCTACAGATGGTACATCACACCTGTAAAGTTAGCAAAGATGTATAAGATGTGTAACAAATGTTGGAAATGTAAAGAAAAAGAAGGGACGTTTTTTCATGTGTGGTGGGAATGTAAGAAAGTGAAAAGCTTTTGGGAAATGATATATAATGAAATGAAGAAAATGTTAAGATACACCATTGTAAAAAAACCGGAAGCTTTTCTTTTAGGGATTGTAGGAAAGGATATAAGAAGAAAAGACTATAAACTCTTCCAATATGCAGTAACGGCAGCCAGAATCTTGTTGGCCCAGAAATGGAAACAAGAGGAAATACCGACGATAGAAGAATGGAGACTGAAATTGACAGACTATGCGGAATTGGATAAATTAACTGGGAAAATCAGATATACTAAAGACCAAAAGTTCATCGAAGACTGGGGAAAGTTCGTAGATTATCTGAAAAATACATGTGGTATGAACACAACACTAGTGGGATTTCAAGAGGCACTGTAAAAATAGAGAAGTATTGTTTATATGGAATAGTGGAGAAGGGAAGTATAATGGCAATACGAAAGAAGGGAATGTGTAACTAAAGTTATAAATACGGATGATTGTCAGAGACGCTGAAGGAAGTTCAAAAAAGAGAGAATTGGATGTACTTTGGATAAAAATGTATAACTGTATGGAAAATTAATAAAATTTATTATAAAATCAAAGGCAATAATGGAGCAGCACCTGGTCTGTGTGGGTACTTCCCTAGAAGTTCTTGTACACTCTTCTAACTTCAAACCATCCTACACAGTTGCACTGGCTTCAGATGAAAAGAATGGCGTGCAATTAGCCATGGAAAGGGCACATGAAGAAAGAGAGTTTCTTGCAAGAAAATAGATCTGCCCCATTTTCTGGATTTCTATTTCTGTTGTGGGAAAGTATTGCAGAACAACTAATAAAGCAGAATAATGTGTGGGTGATCTGTTATAAATCTACCACTAATCCCCTACTATTGCATCAATGCCATGTTGCAAAACACCTGCAAAACAACAACAATGCACAGTCTGAAGCAGCTCAAGGAGTGAAACAAGACTTTGTTGCAATTTAAATGGAAAAAAAGTCTACACTGGTTGTGTCAATCTTCTCTTCCCTAAAATCTGTGGCAGGGGTGTGTGTGTGTGTGTGTGTGTGTGTGTGTGTGTGTGTGTTAGGAAGAGCTAAAAGTGTCATTGCACTTTTCACTCCTTATCTGCTTCCTATTCACAGCTGATCTATTACAGTACTTCAGTTCCAGGCGGGCATCATCCAGCTGTAATCCTACCCAGTCAGGGATCACACAAAAAGCTTAATGTCATTGTATAACCATGTTTTACAACCTTTGTCCAGCCTTTAGAAGGTTCTACTCTTCCCACCAAAGGAAGGGCAGTGAAGCAGTTGCTTCAAGCTTGGATTTGGTCAGAGACAAATGGAAAGAGATAATAGTTTGTAGGTGTAGCTGGACTGGTAGAGGAGCTCTGGCAGGATTACCGGTATGCTGTTCATCCAGGGACAGTGATGCAAGTTCCGTACGGTAGGAGTTATTTGGTTACGAAGGTGCTCCCCCATATTTGTAATTAAACACTGCACATTGTAATTAAACATTACACATGTGCCATTAATCTCAAGTGCTCTCTTACCCAAATAAAAGTTACAGAAATATTATTATAATTTATTTGATTTGTTTACCACCCTTCATCATAAAGTCTCAGGGCAGTTCACAGACTAAAATATAGGATTAAAACAAGTAAATAATTAAGCAAAACAATAGCCCCATCTTCCTACAGACACATAATTGAAAGGCTGTAGAATATTAATCAACCAAAAGCCTGATTGAAAAGGAATGTTCATGACTGGTGCCTAAAATATATATAATGAAGGTGTAAGGCTAGCCTCCCTGGGGAGAGCATTCCACAAACAAGAAGCAACTGCAGAGAAGGCCCATTTTCATGTTATCACCCTCATGTGGAGGTAGAGGAGGCACACGAAGAAGGGCATCAGATGATAAATGCAGAGTCTGGGACAGTTTATATGGGTAGAGGCATTCTTTGAGGTACTGTATTGTGGTCCTGAGCTGTTTAAGGCTTTACAGGTCAGAAACTGCACTTTGAATTGAGCCTGGAAGCTAACTGGCAGCCAGTGCAGTCAGGCCAGGATATGCTCAAATATTGCACTCATGTCTTGCTTGTGGGCTTCTGATAGGTCTATGGCCGACAATGGAAGGAACAGAATACTGGACTAAATGTGTCTTAGTCTGGTCCATCAGGGATCTCATGTTCTCAACCTGTTGCACAACCCTGAACTTCTTGGGACAGTAGGGTATGTAGCAAAGATCTTGATAGTGGTTCCCCATTTATGGAATTCCCTCCAACCTGAGGTGTCTCCCTCTTTCATCATTAACATTCAGGAAGAATTTTAAAACATTCCAATTCTCCCTGGCATTTGCCATCTGAAATAAACTGCACTTGAAATTATTAGCTGTGACTGTTTTTAAGCACTTTAAAAATTTGTATTGTTTTGCTGTTGTGTTGTTTTCTGCTCTGGGCTACTTTGAGAGAAAAGACAGGTTAGAAATTTAAAAATAAACAAATAGCAGTGCTCTAAGTCTCCCATCTCTCTTGCACCCTGTTAGCTAATATCCTCAGGCAACTCACAGAAAACGCCTTATATCTGCAACTCTATTGCATCTTGCTAATGTAAATGAAATCAGTTTCACCTGGTTGGGTGAGGCAAGGAAGAACAGCTGTGTGCTCACATCTCTGTCTCACAGCCTGGTGTAAGAAAGATGAAAATGAATAAGGCTCCGTTCTTTTACATATCAAAGCCTACACTGTGCATTTCTACAGAAGAGTCTTCAGAGGAGGTGGGGGTGGAGGACGCCTTTCACAACCATCTCCTCAATGCATTGCAACGTGATTGCCTGAAGAATGGCACTGACAAGCAAAACTGCAGTTCTCTAAAAATTGAAGAACAAATTACCAGAATGTAACTTAAGCTCAAGGGGCCATAGTCAGAATGCTTCAACCCAGTTGCTCAAAGGTTCGCCATGGGGACTGTGAGGTGTGCTTCCTACACACCCACCAGAAAAGAGCTTCATGCCCATAGGGCCATTTTGTAGCTGAGACCCTCAGAAAAAATACAGACACCAACACTGAACCATTAACAGGCATCAAAACACTGGACTGATCTGCTGAACTGAGATCAATGCAGACTTAACAGCAAAAGTACGCCCTGCCTTGATTTTCCTATAATGCCCTTAATCTTGCTACTCCAGTAAACCAGACCAATTAACACTTTGGAATCCCTATGCCAGAGCCAAAAAATACTCCTGGTTTTGCCAATTTCTGGGATTACAAAAACCCAGCCACCCACAATTCATGGCCAGAGGTTTGGATCGCACAGATGTGTACTGTAAAGATGAAAACAAAAGCCCCAGCACTATGGTATTGGTGATGTAATATTTAGTCTTCTCCATAGGGGAAGTGTCAAGAGCCAGAGTTAGAGAACATGCTTTGAATCCCTGTTATCTCTAGCTGGGAAGGGGATCGAGCCCTCATGGAAACCCTGGAGAACCACTGCTGACCTGCATGGACCAGCTGTCCCTTCCCTGAAGTTCTCCAGATGTTTTAGACTACAGATTCCATAATGCTTGATCATTGGCCATGGTGGCTGAGGCAGTGTTAAAAATGGAGATATGAAAGCTAGGAGCTAGATGGCACCTTAAACCTAGGTTATGGGCACAACAATGGAATGTCTAGGCATGCTTTTATATATATATAACAAAGCTGCAAATGAATGAACTGCAGCTAAAATATTATGTTCATTTTATACATGGTCTGGTCCTTCCCCTGCCCACCCTCCTAATATTCTTAAGAGGGTCTCTTCTACAGTCTTCAGAGAGTAGCTGGAAGTGGGGAAGCAGGAAAAGGTCTTCCTTTCCTTCCACTCCACTCCACTGTTTTAATCTGAAATCTTAGGCGCAGTACTGTACCCAGAGCACAGAAGCTGCTTGCGCTAATGTAACTCCCTGTTGCAAAATGTGCCTAGAACAATGGGAGTTTCAAACACTGGGCTGGGGCTGATGGGAAATATAGTCCAAAATATCTGGAAGGAACAGGTTTTTTGAAGGCCAATGTAGCCAATACTGATCTAAATGATTCAATGATCTGAATAATGTAGCTTCCTTTGTTCCACATAAACACACACACACTTAACCCTACCCTCTAGGTTAGGTAGTTTCCATGCAATTCATTATTTAAAATGTGATATTTGCAATTAATATACACATTTGTCAGGAGCATTTATACGGCAAGTATAGTAACAATAAGTAGACGAAATCCTTCCTAGCATTCGGGGATGGTAGTGTTTAGTAGGCAGAGGGTGAGGAACTTTAATATTTGAGGCCATTGGAGTCTGGCTTCAAGGAACACACAAAGCATTTTAATGGCATATTGACAACTCTTACCAGAGTGTGCATGCAGGACAAACAAGAGCATCCTGGGATTCAATGCCTAGTGCACTGTCAGAGCTAATTGCATTTTAAAATAGTAGCAGAGGCAGTAGTTAGATTACAGCTGCCGAGCACCACCACACAAGTAAAGATAACATCAAATTATGCCAGAGGTGGGGGAGCAGTGCAACCGTGACTCAGCAGATTGCCTTAATCTGTTCGATTGACAAGCATTTCTGACTATTAAGATCAATGTGTGCAATCAGACTTCCATCCGGCTCTGCTGAATGAGACAATACATCAGCCTCCTTATTAAGACCTCCTCTTCTGCAGCAGGATCTATTTGTTTCAATAATACTTTAAGCAAGGCTGAACTGCAGTTTTCTTTGCAATCTCTGAGGCCAGAGCAAAATCTAGATGCCGTTTCAACAGAGCATGGTTGCAGCTGTAAGTTTATGGAGTGCATGTAGCTGCTGGGATGGGAAAGGGAGCTGTGTGGGACTTCTGGTAACCATTTGCCAACTGAAAGCATTGGGAAACAGAGGCCATGGGTGATGGCGCCATTAAAAGATTTGCAACAGCAGTCTAAGAATGCATATGTAGGAGTACATTGATCATAATGGGCACCATGCTATGATGGGGAAATTGAGGCTAATTATTTGCCTGTCTGCACCTTTGCCACTGTGATAGGAATTTTATGGTCTTCGATATATGGTAATGTTCATAAGTGTACGTACCAAGCACATACATAGATCAGCACAGGAAGGCCAACCTGGAACCATTTTGATTCCTAAACTGACCAAATGTTTTCTCTGCAAGGTCAAAGTGGGAAACCTCCCCATTGTCTCTTTCCTCGCAAATCCTGTCTTAAGGACACATTTAAGATATGAATAGGGTGTGAGCCTGTGACCTGGCCCAGGAACTAAGTATCTATCAGTACAAAAGAATGGCTGGGCTCCCCAGGCAATCCAATCAAGTAACCTGCCAGACAGGAGATAAACAACAACAGGAGAAAAACAATATTCAAATTTCTGTTTTAGACCGCCTTTTCTGTGATGTAGGTGTGATGTATCTGAGGGATGGTCTTAGGTTACACCCCTTCTGTGATGTATGTATGATGTTTCTGGGGGTGGTCTTGATCTACAGGATGGGAATTTCAAAAGTCTTTATAAGGCATTGCATGCCGTTTTTCTAGGTCCCTCCTCCTCTCCTACGGGTGAAGGGAGCACCCTGTTGCAACAGATCAATAAAGATCAAGCTTACTAGCTGCTTTGCTTCTCAATATTCTCTGGTTAGCCTCTTGTTATTCTCTCCTACCAATAGAGAACCTATGTAAGGACTCTATATGGGCTCTTGGATACCCCATAAGGGAAAAGGGTAATTTTTGTTTACAACACCATCTGCCGGCAGTTTGAGCTGGCACAATATGTTGCCAACTCAAAATGTATGAAACCAGTATCATGATCTGAACATCATACCAGTCTCAGATAATTAAACAATATATCGCCCAGCTCTATTAGGAATGGCATACAAATGCATCATTTTGATTATTCTCTATCTTAGGATGTCCCAGTTTTTCTAGGAAGACTCCTGAGCTTTCATAAACTAGCTGACAAACACAAGGGCAACAGGTGATGCTTTGCCTATTCACTGCACCTTCGTGAGAAAATCCCGAAAAATTTCAGGTTGAAAACACAGCTGGTGAAAGGCACAGGAGTCCAGGAATCAAAAAGAAAGGAGGTGGGGAAATGGAAGCAACAATCAAACTCCGTATTTACACAATCTTAAAACTCTGAAAACAATGGACTTTTTCCCTGTGGGAGTTTCACTGATATAGGATTGCTCCTCTTATGTAAATACAAGCAGTGTATAACCAGATAAGCTATGGACACACCAAGTTAAAAAAAAAAAAAAGCATAGTGGTGGGTGTGCCTGAAACCAACAACACAACCCTTTAATGACAACAAAATGTCCTATACTGCAATGAGATGTTGTAACAATGTTCTGTCCTAAGTACTTGGTGGCTCACAACCTTTGACATGAGTGAGTTTATAGGCTGGAGCTTTTACTTGTCAATTCTGGGCCTTGCTATTTATTTTGGTGCTGGCTACAGTACAGTATTTTGATTTTATTACTTGATCCATTTAACTTTCTGCATCTTGTCGTAAATTGCTTAGAGTTCATGACCCTGTGGGATACGTAGAATCTCAGAGTTGGAAGAGGTCTAGTCCTACTTCCTGCTCAATGCAGGAAACCCAGAGTTTGAGCATCACCAGTGGTTAGCTGTAAGCAATTAATCAATTAATAATACTGGGGATCATAAATACAAATACACAGCCACATCACAGCATGTTATGAAAATAGAATTTTCATTTGTCTCATAGAAATGGAAGCAACTAGAAAATCTGGGCAGAAGGCTTTCCATGTCCCACTGGGATTCAACAAGTTGTAACAGCCATCGCTAACCCGGTGTCCTCCTAATGTTTTGGGCTATAACTCCCATCAACCCTAGCCAGCTGTGCTAGCTGGTTGAGCTGATGGGAGCTGTAGCTCAAAACATCTGGAGAGCGCCAAGACACAACATAAGCGAACATTCATGATACACAAATCACAACTATCACCTCTAAGCATGTTCCCTATAGGAAAAGCATTTGCTTGACTGACATATACAATAACACAAAAGCTAATTGGAAGTAGGTTCAAGGCAAACCAAACCAAAAGTACTTCTTTGCTCAAAACAATATTAGTTTATGAGATGCATTGCCACAAGCTGCAACAGTTATTGATTTAGGTAGCTTTTCTAAATAATTAAGCAGATTCATGTACACCTTCATTCCCTCTCACAAGTCTATTTCCTCCACCATTTTCAGGTTTCTCTAACTATAATTTCTTGTGACATTTGTAAAAGGTTAAAACCTTTAGTTGCCCAGGCATTTTAAATTATGATATTTTTAGCTGGCTAGCTGGTTTTCTTCCTATTAATTTTACTGCATTACTGGTTATGTTTTATGTCGCACCTGGAGATTTTAAATTTTCTTGTACACTGCCTTGAAATTCATTTTCGGATACAGGACAGTTTAGACATTGTTAAAATAAATTGGACAGCTGTAGTTAGCACTTGCCTCCAAACTATGGTTTGGATTTAGCACTCACCATAGATTGCTTGATTTGAATGTCATAGCAAAGTACTGATCTTCAACATGTGGATGAGGGTCACTAGTAAGTCATGGCCTGATCCAAGGTGGGTCACAACAAGAGCATCACCACCATGCAAATATATGGGAAAAGATTAAGAATGGATCCCCAAATGGATTAAGAATGGGTCCCCAAATGCATGTTTGGGTTAAAAGTCAGTCCTGGGTCAGAAAAGGTTGAAGATACCTGGTTTAGAGGAAACCAGAAATTGGAAGAAGTAACCAGTATGTGCAAGAAGAGAAGGGGAGGGGAGGAAAAGCTCAAACGGACAACATATCCAACATATTTCCAGTCCTCCAAACAGTGATCTGAGCAGACAATTGAGCCACTTTTGTCCAAAATAAGTGTCAGAAAATAGGCTAAGTGGTGAAGCTGAGTGAAGAGTTCTGTAGGTGTCCTGTTCCCTGCCTATCTCTATTCTTGTTCACCCTGTATGTTACAATAATTCTACTCTGGAAGCAGTAGTAACTCTTCTGGTCCTGAGAACTGAGCTGCAATTACAAAAGACTGTCATCAGCTATTGCCATAAAATTGGCGAGTTACAGAAGGCAAATCAACTGAATGTTGCATGCTGCTCATCTTGCAGTGCTCTTCACTCTGGGGCAGGGTGGCAGCAGATGGTGACATTTTTTTAATAGATATTAAATTATTGTTTTAATTATATATTTATTCCTTCCCAGGGACCTTTGGGGAAGGGCAAGTTACAAATAAGCACATTGAGCAAAACTTATTATAAAAGATGTTGTAACCTAGGCTGACCTAAGTTACCCAAACTCCATTCAGGAGCATTTGGGAGGAGCTACTGTTGACTGAGCATGAAGGTGAGTGTGGGCCCAATTATTGAGGATCAGGCCCTGGATCACATTGCTGAGCTGAATAGGATTTGGAATAGGTGTCTCTTCTTGCCTTCTTTCGCCTTTGCCACACCTCCAGAACACCTCTTTTGGGGACTAACTTCAGCATAAGTTCCACTGCCTGAGGCCTGGCTGAGCCAGGGTGAGGGAATTGCACTAACATAGCCCTGGCTGAGTTCAAGATCCGTTGAATTCAAATTTTCTCATCCTGGAAGAGCTTTGGCTTGGATTTGGCTGACAATGATCTAAATTAGAGCCCTCTGGAAGTTGCCCTAATTTGTATCCAAGATTGGCTGTCACCAACTACACAATCAAAGTAAAAATGGCTTTTTCACTTAACAGCATAAATTGTTGCAACTCTGTGTGTGAGGAGTTGGAAAGATTTGACATTTCTGCTGTTGATCTAGAAAGCTGAGGAAAAGGGCATCAGAGAGATTGCTCTGTTGTACAGAGAAAAATAAATGCAAATATAAATTTTTGATATCTATTCAAATATCTCTTTAGTTTCGTATTTTTTCCACCAGCGCACATAAAAACAAGAACATTCCTTTTTAATATTTCAATTTCTTTTTCATGCACCACTTTTCTGTTACGCTAATACTCCAATTAGTAATACTCAAATTTTTAAAGCCATATTTTTTTCTTGCTAGGACTAATTGGTTTCAAACTGCTACAGGGAGTAAGCTCGCATGCCTGTTTATAAAGAGCACTATAAACTTAGCCTAGGCTTTTTAATCAAATGTGTTTTTTATTATTTAAACACTGCCTCTTTTAAAACAAAATCCATTGGCTGTTGTTGTGGAACAAGCTTTCCTGGAAAACACATTTGTAGTACACTTATTTAAAGCAAGTTTTCACATCACTTTGTATAAAGAACTCTGATCTTATGTTAAGTGTGTGTGTGTGTGTGTGTGAGAGAGAGAGAGAGAGAGAGAAGGAAACTGCAGCCAGTTTCAGAGCTGTAACAAATATATAAATCCAAATCCAAATGAGTCTTTAAAAATACAGCTTTACAGGGCAAAACTATACTGAATGCTTCATGGATGTTCTGAGAAGAGAAGAGTCAAGTTTTGATGGCATTTCAAACCAACCCCCTCCCCTTCTGATGACATAACCTCATTCAATTCTCTCTGAGCGGTCAGCACAGACTTCCTGAGTTCCTATTGGTGTGCTCTGCATCAGCAGACATCAGAAGACAAATATTACTGGATGGACCATTACAAGGGAGGTAACTGTCATTTACTGCTGATAGCCTAAAGCTGACAGTCTGTACAAATGAAAGAAAAAGTGGGGTGTTGTTGCTTGCTCAGTGGTTTGCTTGGTTTCCTTTTTTAAAAAAAGAAAGAAAACAAAGTAATTCTACAGTCACCAACCAATTTTTGATACTTCTGCAGCTGTTTTGTCTGAATAGCAGCTTCAGAATCTATTTTACAGACCCTTTCAACTAGGGTGGTCTTAAGTTTATTGTATGCAAACTCTGTGTAACTCATCTTTTGCAAGAAGTGCAATTGGATCAACTGCATGGCTGAACTTTTGGGTATAATTATATGCCTCCTTAGAGAAGACGGTTGTTCTGCACAGGAGTTTGCTCTGCTGAATGTTTAATTAAAGACTGCAAAGGAAAAATCTGAGGTGTCCTGTGTGCTTGTGCTAGCAACCCCAAAACATAATTCCAGTGTGCCTAAAGGACCTCTACTGAAGAAGCCCTTCTTGAATCCCACCATACTGGATAGCTATCAGAGCATCTCCAACATCCCATTTTTGGGCAAGGTACGGGAGCGTGTGGTGGCATCTCAGCTCCAAAAGTTTCTGGAGCAGATGGATTATCTAGATCAGGGTTTCGCAAACTTGGGTCTTCAGCTGTTTTTGTACTACAATCCCATCATCCCTGACCACTGCTTCTGCCAGATAGGGATGATGGGAATTGTAGTCCAAAAACAGCTGGGGACCCAAGTTTGGGAAACCCTGATCTAGATCAATTTCAATCTGGTTTCAGGCCTGTTTATGGGACAGAGATGGCTTTGATCATCTTGGCGGTTGACCTAAGCCAGGAACTGGACAGGGGGTTCTGTTCCATCCCCCATGCTATTTACCGTTTACATGAAACTGCTGGGAAAGGTTATCCAGAGTTTCAGGGTTCTGCATGCTCCTTTTCTCCTTTCCACCTAAATCCAAGGAAGCTGTCTCAGTTCTAAACTGGTGTCTATCATCAGTAATGGCCTGGATGAGGGTCAACAAGCTGAAACTTAATCCAGACAATCCAGGTTAGTCAGAAGGTGCAACAGGGAATAGATTCGGCCTGCGCTGTTTGGGGTAACACTCCCTCTGAAAACACAGATTGGGTGGGCTTCTGCACTCAGCCCTGAGTATGGATGCCCAGATCTCTGCTCAACAAGATTTTGGGAACTGACTGCTTTTAATGGAAAGACTGGTACTGTGCTGCATTATTGTAATTATTTGTCTGGTTTTAAGAGATTTTATATAAGTATATAGTTTTAATTCTATATATATTGAAGGATTGTTTTTTCTATGTTTTTGGCAGTTCTTGTTTTTACCTGTAAGCCACCTTGAATCCTATTAGGGGAAAGTGTGAGCTAGTGCAGTATTGACGAGGTGTTGGATTTACTTTGTCAGCCAATTACTCGCCCATTTTTCAATATGTACTCTGCAATACTAGCCAATTATGTCTGTGCAGCAACCAGGTGTTGTGAAAAGAAAAAGTAGATAAGCTCGTTGGCTGCAGGTTTGGAATCTGAGAAAGGAGGAGCAGCGACAAGTGGGGAAAAGGACAGACCATGAGATAGCACTGAATACGAGCCTCCGCAGATGGACAGGTGCTCCTTTCCACTTCTCACAACCAGCGCCATTCCACCTTTCTGAATTGATAGCAACAGGCGCTGGCATTCCTGCAGGATCAGGACAATGGCCTATCTAGTCCAGCATCCTGTTCTCACAGTGGCTTCTAAGATGGCTGTGGGAAACCAGGGAGCAGAAAGATGATCACAAGAGCATTCTCCCCTCCCATGGTTTCCAGGGACTGGTATTCAGAAGCATTGCTGCCTCCAGCTGTGGAGGCAGAGCATAGCCATCACAGCTAGTAGCCATTGAAAGCCCTCTCCTCCATGAATTTGCCTAGTCCTCTTCTAAAGCCCTCCAAGTTGGTGGCCATCACTGCCTCCTGTTCCATAGATAATACAGTGGACCCTCCGGATACGAATTATATTCATTCCAGGGATCCGTCCGCAACCCGTAAAGTCCGTAGGCAGAGGTGCCATTTCTGTGCATGTGCACGGTGCACAGAGCGCTCCTGCACATGCACGCATGGCAAAACGTTCGTAACCCGAAAGTTATGTATCCAGAGTGGTATGTAACTAAAGGGTCCACTGTACATTAAAAATCCCCACCCCACCCCAAGAAAACAGTTTGATTTGCTCCATTCAGGTCCTAAAGCTTTGACCACAAGGCAATGGCAGCAGTTTGGAATCTATCCACCCAACTATCCATTTATCTTTATGGAGGTGAAAACAACACTACCCATAGACAAGACAGAGGAAGGTGTCAGTAGGTGTGGAGAAGCCGCAGGGTTCGCAGATCCAAAAGAGGAAAATAAGACTCGGCTAGCTTAATATGCATGGCATGATGAATGACTCCTGGTAACACACTCCAGCTTCCACCTGAGGCAACCAACTGCCTCACTCTGCCTAATGGTAGGGACAGCCCTGCAGATGCCACCCATATTTTAAAGCATAATCACACTATTGCACACAATTCCATTTCACACAGGTAGAAAACCAGGCGTGGGGAGGGGAAGAATTGGAATATTCTGGAAGAGGACATGGAACCCTAAACAGGAGCACTCCACACTGCAAAGCTTTGTCTCAGGTCTCATGTGTATAAACCTCACTGGGATCACAGGCATGTCGTTTTGAGAAGGGAGTGTATAAACGAAATACTGGTAAATAGGATTGTGTTCTGGTGCTGTTGTTTTTCAAAACGCATTTGGGAATGTTCCATATTTTTGTAAAGGCTGTGTGTTTGAGCTCATTTCTATCCTCTGACTCCACTGAACATAATCAATAGGAGCTACTTCCAATTGGTAAAATTAGATTGGTATTTTTTATGTATCTACAGTGGTACCTCGGGTTAAGTACTTAATTCGTTCTGGAGGTCCGTTCTTAACCTGAAACTGTTCTTAACCTGAAGCACCACTTTAGCTAATGGGGCCTCTTGCTGCTGCCGTGCCACTGGAGCACGATTTCTGTTCTCATCCTGAAGCAAAGTTCTTTACCCGAGGTACTATTTCTGGGTTAGCGGAGTCTGTAACCTGAAGCGTATATAACCTGAAGCGTATGTAACCCAAGGTACCACTGTATTTATGTTGGGGAAAAACAATTCTTACCTTCATCCCAAAGTCCCAGGGTAGATTGCAACAGAAAATTCAATTGTGAAAACAGATAACACCATTACAGTTATAAAACAGGTATAGCCTTCATTCCCATGGGAGGCAGTGATGGCCAGTAACGTGGGTGACTTTGATATAGGATCAGACAAATTCATAGGACTGGGATATCAATGGCTACTGGATATGATAGCTATGCTCTGCTGTCACAGTTGGAGACAGCAACGCTTCTGAACCCCAGTTGCTGGAAATCATGGTAGAGGACAGTGTTCTTGTGCTCGGGTCCTGCTTGCTGGTTTCCCTCAGGCAATGGGTTGTCCACTGTGAGAACAAGATGCTAGACTACAAGGGCCATTGGCCTGATCCAGCAGGCTCTTCTTATGCTCTTATGAAGTCTACCTGAAACTTTGGATTAATTTCAAAACTTGACCTCAATAAGATCAATAGCGTGTTATGGAATGTTTGACTCCATCAAACATTTTGTAACATGCTACTGACCTTATTGAGGTCATCTTTTGAAATTAGACCAGAAATTGTTTGATTGATCTTATTCAATCTCTACTTAAACAGGATTAATGGTATGCTAACATACTTGTGTTGGTTGTACAATGGTAGCATGCAATCTACTGTGGCTTTAAAGTAGCTTCCATTTGTTGCCAAATAGCCAGGGAGGGAGCCTGAAATTGCAAGATAGTTCCCTTCCCTGTTCCTCACCCACAAATCCCCATGCAGATGCTGACAAGACTGACAGCTGGTTATTATTTTGACAATGACAATGGAGAGGACTTCGCAACATGGTGATTGGACTGGGAATCTGATGGCTCTATAAGATTTGGCTCCGTAGAGCGAGGGAAAGAGCGAGAGGGTGACATGCCTCCCCCAAAAAACACAAGAGGAGCATTGGGGTGTCTCAGGGTCCTACAGACTCACTGATGGCCCACAGATTGACTCTCTAGAAACTATTTTACTTCTGGTAAAGTACTTTGGGATTTACTCTGATGATGTCAAAAGTAACAGATTTACAACTATGTACTTAAAAGGTATTTGCTGGCTAAAAATCAAGATCAAAAGAAGAGGACAAGATTATTCACTGTGAACACTGACTAAAATAAATTTAATAACATTGATTTACTATAGTAGATACTCTTCACTGATTGTTAATATCAGGAGACTTTAAAAGCAGCTACTGCGCAGTGTTGAGAGACAGAAAAGAGAACATCAGAGAGCCCCAACACCACTGTCTTAAACCTTCAACTTATGGTTGTCCCACTCGCTGGATCATCACCTTGTCATCCATAGTCACTTATGGACTCTTTGTTAAAACTGTATTTATGGAAGACAATCTTACTCAGCTACGAGTGATTGCCAAAGAAGAAGAAGACTTATGATTGTGGAAAGGAAAGTTTTTAGCAATTCAAATCTATTTAATATTACTATGTTGGATTTTATAATTATTTTGATGTGAATGGATGCAAAGATTTGAACATATAATTGTTAAAAACTGGTATTTGTGAGCAATGTGGGAGACGGGGAGGGATTAGGTTTGAAAAATAGTCTTCCTCTACTGAGTCTATGACCTTGACCAGGGGTCAGCAAACTTTTTCAGCAGGGGGTTGGTCCACTGTCCCTCAGACCTTGGGGGGGGGGGGGCAGACTATATTTTGAAGAGAAATAAAATGAATGATTTTCGCCCACTTGTAAAGAGGCCTGAAGATGCTTCGCTTTACCTGTCCCAGTTATCATTCCAATAGCCGCAGTTGGGCTTCCCAGCCAGCCAGACACCATGGCGGGGTAGGAGGCTGCGTTGGCTGGCGAAGACAGAAGCTGAAGCCCTGGCAGAGGAGCCGTGGATGGAGGTTGGGGAACCGGAGCGTCGCCAGAGCTTTTACCCACCACCTGCTGCTGAGAGGCACCACGGAGAAGATGACAGAGCCGCCCCCCAACCAGCAAGCAGCAGCCGTGGCCAACGCAACGACCTGCCTGAACGCCATGGGAGGAATGAAGGAAGGAGGTGACGAAGAAAGGGTGTGAGGAAGCAGCACAGAAAAGGGGCGCAGAGAAGGAAGGAAGGGCAGACTGAAGGAGAGGGAGGAGCAGCAGGAGGAAAATGCCTCAGCAGCCGGCAGCTGGCGTCACACGCCCCCTTCACAGTGCCGCCCTGCTGAGGTGGGCAGGCAGGTGAGCCAACTCCTGCCACTGACAGCACCCGGCGTGGCACAAGATTGCTCCATCCCTGAGGAGAAAAGTGCCACCATGTGAGGGAGAGGGAGGGAGAGGGAAAGAATGCGCGCAGTGGCGATCCACGCGGCAATTCCTGGACCGTCCGTGGGCCAGATCTACGGTAGAAGGCAATTGGGCCTGATTCAGCCTGCGGCCCTTAGTTTGCCAACGCATGACTTTGACAAAGTACTGATAAAACTAAAACTAATATACGCCATGGTGGGAAAGAACTTTGTGTTTTGAAATTAAACTCTATAGAGGTAGCTGGGGAAAGGGGAGAGAATTGCCCCCCCTCCACTCTAAACAGGAAATGGCAAAAGGAAAAGGTTCAATGTTAAAACTAACTAGCCAGGCCGCAAGGCAAGAGAATTTAAAATATGAAGTGTCTGATTATGAGAGCAGGGTAGTGAAAGTGTTAAATTAAGGAGGCTCATGTCTAAATCTCTCTCAGCTATGAATGGGTGACCATGGACCAGTCGTTATTTCTCTGCCTAACTGGGTTGTTGTGAGCTCAAAGTGTTTGTCCAGGGAGAATCGTACATACTACACTGAGCTCCTTAGAGTAAAGTCATGATGAAATGTGGATCAGCTGCTGTAAGTTTGGTTTGGGGGAAGGCAATTCTTGCAAAGGTCCCATAGACTGGAATATCTTTGCACTGCATGAGGATTTGCAAGAAAGGGGTGTCTAGTGCCAGGGATCTGTGGGCATTGGGCTGCAAGGAGGAGGAAGAAGGCAACAGAATATTGCAAGGGCATTAAGGCTCATGTAAAACTGGTCCTGCCATCCAGTCCTCATCAGCTGTGCCCCCTGCCACCCTTGCTTTGGGAGTTAGAAGAGGGAAGCATGCTCTACATGCTCTGATTTTGAACCCAGCACAATCAGCTTTTCACACCATGGGGAGAGGCTAAATGCCTAGAGCAACCTCATCGCTTGAGAGCCCCCCCCCCCCATGATGCATGGATGGCAATAATAGCTTTCCTGTACAATCCTACCTCTCACCTTGCATACATAAATTCCATTAATAACAATAGTGCTCATCTCCCAGCAAACATGCCTAGAATTCCAACCCTTTGCTAATAATGCAATCTTTTTTCTTTATTACGGGGTGCTGGTGGAAGTGGAAACTGGATGTCTTGAAAATAAGCAGTCCCTAGAAATGTAGGAAACATTTGCATGCAGAAAGTTCCAGGTTCGATCCCTGGAATCTCCAGGTAGGGCTGAAAAAGACCCACCCAAAACCCGGGAGAAACCTTTCTGCAGTCCTAAGTGTAAACACCACTGAGGTAGATGGACCAGTTTCCTGTGCACCCTCCTCAATCTTTCCAGTATTTTCAAGGAATTTAGTAAACATCTCCCGAGTCTCGGTTCCATTCCATTTTCTACCCCATCCTAAAGCATTATGAAATTAAGCTTAAGGGTTTGCTTCACTGGGGCCCTTTAACACAGTACGCAGAGTTACACATTTGATACAGACTTGCGGCTGATCTAATACCTGAAACTGGAAGAAATCAGTGTAAAAGCACTAAGTTCCCCCATGAGGCAAAACAGTGAGAGCTTGCTATTACTGAGATCCCAGCAGGTAAACTTCTGCAGCGAATTAAGATACCCAAGGGATTTCATAATGAGGGTTGTGGTTTCTTCTTTATTAATACACAACACCACATTCTGCATTTTCCCTGTTCGCAGAGAGTTCCAGAAACAATAAGAAATTAATCCTCTTCGAGGTAAGCGTTATCCTCATGTTACAGCTGGAGAAACAGAGGCAGTTGTATGATCCTTTCAAGGTCACTCAAAAAAGATGCACATCGGAGCCTAGCTGAGAATACAGATTTATACAATGGTACCTTGGTTCTCGAACGGCTTGGCTCCTGAACAAATTGGCTCCTGAATGCCACAAACCTGGAAGTAAGTGTTCTGGTTTGCAAATGTTTTTTGGAAGCTGAACATCCAACGCTGCTTCCACTTGAGTGCAGGAGGCTCCTGCAGTCAACCGGAAGCCACACCTTGGTTTTCGAACCATTTCAGGAGTCAAATGGACTCCCAGAACAGATTAAGTTTGACAACCAAGCTACCACTGTAAATCAAAGTGTCCCTGTAGTTGACTTATTTATTTTTTAAAACTGATACTGTACACCACTTTATTGTAAAAATAACCTCAAAGCGACTTACAAAAAGAGTTTACCTGCTGAATCACTTTTGTACTGAATAATAGTTCTACGTTAATAATCTTGGAATGCAACATGTATTGCCCAATCATTGTAATACTCTAAAGTAATCTACTTCATTTAGCTTAACAAATATTTGGCTGTTGATTTTTTTTTTTTAATAGTGTGACCTAGCTATTAAAAATAATTGCTTAGTATTAGAACCAGAGGCATACCTAGGGTTCCTTGGCAAGGAACTGTTCCAGAGTCCCTCCCTCCCCCCCCAAAAAAAAATTCACTTTACCGCAACAGCCACACCAGAAATTGCTACATGTTACAGAACCCAAGTACTTGAAGAGTCCAGGGTAAGGACAAAGCAAGGAGGAGGAGGGAGGTAGGGAGAGAGGGAGGGGAAGCATGCCTTTGTGCTACAGTGCAAGAAGGAAAGGAAGCTTCTCCTACATTTTATCTCACCACAATGCCGCACACATACGGTATATTTCACACTCCACAGTATCCCACAGTCTACCTTCACACTCTCACTCGCTAGATCATCACCTTGTCGTGGTGAGTGGGCTTGAACGTTCCTATGACCCTTGTGAGTGAAGCCGCTGGGAGTCTCGTACTCCCAGCAGGGTCACCCAAGGCGGTAAGGTCAAAGGGGAGGAGCTAGACAAAGAATGACTCAAGAAGTCCTCAATGGAAGAACAGGTGGATGATAACAAGCGGTATGTTACAACGGCTGTGAAGGCAGATGAAGGCTGCGGCAGAAAAGAATCTACAAGTCATCGTGATACTTATGCCATTGGAATAGAGCCTTACTGCAAAGACCGTGTGTTGGTCAGCGTGCATTGATCTACACAAATAAAACAAATTCATGCACAGGCGTCTTCCAAAAACCCATCCCAAATGGACTCACTGTTAAAACTGTGTTTATGGAAGACAATCTTACTGGGCAAAGAAGAAGAAGACAACACAAAGAAGATGAAGACACTGCCTTGCCATTTCTCCTACCGCTCAGCTCTCAGCTCTTGCCTAAACTTACCACCTTACACAGGTAATTAAAGACAGATTTCTGGCAGCTGGTTTTCCCAATCCTTAGATATGCCTCTGATTAGAAGGAAGTACCATGTTGCAAATCAATATCAATTATATTTACTATGAAACACATACCGTAAGTAGTTGAAAGATACCTGGTGTAATTCTTTAACTGAACCTGCACACACCTTGAGTTTGACTAGTACACCTAAGGAAATGTCTGGGAAGCTAAAGCACAAGCTCATTACAACGTAAGCAATCACTAAAGATTAGCAGCAAATATCATCTGACAATAAGCATCAGTATCACATATAATTATTGCACAAGTTTGAAATGTTTCATTTTCCCCTTTAGTGAGCAGTGTGAAGCTCAACATATATTGCTCCCAGCCCTACAAAGCTCCAAGAAACTTACCGGAGGCAACAGAAACTATCTGTTTCAAAACCAGACAGTTTTCAACCTTTCAAGGCTACCCTTCCTCATAGGAGACAGAAGAAGCATCCACACATGACTTCTTTTGTATTACTTTCCAATAAATTTCAAAGTTCACACAGAAAATTCTGAAGATTCACCCAACAGAGTACAGGTTTGTTTGGCATAGTGAGTAAAAAATGAGAGTTGGGTATTGATACTTGTCCAGCTCTCAACCATTCTGCTACTGTTAGTGAGAAGTGGATAAAATGCTTACTAAAGATATAGGAGAAAGACATCTGGACAAAATTTTGTGTGTAAATCAGTGATGGGGGTAATAATTTATCCCTTCCCTCCCAAATGGATAAAACAATTAGAGAGCTTGTTGGTGCAACAGATAAAAAAAGCAGAGATGGGTTGAACAGGATAGCTCATTGCAAACAATGAGGCAAAGTACTATAGAAGACTATAGAGAGACCATAAACTAGAATACATAGAATCATAGAAATGTAGCGTTGGAAGGGAACCTGAGGGTCATCTAGTCCAGTGATGACTACTTGAAAGAGTGAGATACAAAGCAGATGCCGAAAATAAGACACAGACTGGAGCATAGGTGTGCTAGCAATGATGATATGTGGGGGTACAGAAGATAAGCAACAGACTTCAAGGTAGCACGCTACCTGGGGAACATGTATGAATCTGCCAACAGACACAAGCTGAAGAAGTAAAAGATAGTGGGTGACAAAAGCGGGAGGTGACACAGTGGCATCCGGAAAAGAGAGGGAAAGGATGTGGATGGAGTTGTGGAGAAGGGCCTGAGAGCATAAACTGAGCTAAATTGCATCTGTTTTCAATAGTTAACAGTAAGGTGGTACATTGATGCCATTTCTATAAAGGTGTTTCCTGTTGAAAGAGAAGTGCCTCAGATCTATTTGACGATTTGATCATACCATTTTTTTTCTTCAGTTAGGCTTTCAGTGTCAGTAGAAGAACCAGATTTTTAATTCAGCTTAGAGTTCCTAATGTGAGGCCCATTTTTGGAAAGTGATGTGCCCTGGCACATAGATCTGTATATGGTGAAACTGTTTTTTTCTTCCTGTCTCCAAGCTGATCAAGTCCTTATGAATGTACAAAACATGCCTTCTTTGCACCAGCTATGGACTTGAGTCTTTCAAGGGGTATACTATTCCATCTAGAACAGGATATACTCTATAGCCCAATTCCCAGGTCAGCTTTCCTATTGACCAGAAAGATGTTTTGGCTGATAGTATCAAAAACCAGGACTACACTCCCCCTAACCAGAAGGTGGGGGAACCTGTGATCCTCCGGTTGTTGTTGGACTTCAGTTCTCATCAGCCCCAGCCAGAATGGTCAACGGTCAGAGATTATAGGAGTTGCAATCCAGCCACATCTGGAGAACCACAGGTTCCCCACCCCTGCCCTAGTCAATTCCCAGTGAAGGTCACCCACCAAGGTGACCAAGGCAGTTTCAGTTCCAAAATCAGTCCTCAACTCACATTACAAATGATCCCAATAATCAGTTTTGACCAAGGAAGCCTGGAGATGAGTCATTGCCACTCATTGGAGCACTTTGCTATGAAATGAAAAAATGAGAGACTGGCTTAGAATTGTCTAAAGTGGCAAGGTCCACTGAGGTCTTACTACTGCTTGCTTTAAAGTTGATGGTTCTGTACCTTCTGCAAAAGGTAAGATTTAACCAATCTTGCCATCTTGCTCCTCTAGTGGCTTTCACCAGCCAGGATGGACAAGGTCAACAGTAACAGGTTTGGTCTCAAAGCTCCAAGCAACTTGTCCACATCCACAGGTTGAAGAAACTGAAATGTGTCCATCATAATGTGTCAAGCTGGTATCAAGGGCACATACATTGCTCATGATTTAAATGCAGAGTGAAGTTGGAGCGGATATGGGCAACTTTATCAGCAAAGTGTTGGGTTTTTAAAAATAATTGCTCAAAGCGGGATTTCAAAAGTTCGTTAGCTCCAGATGAAATAAGGACCTAACCACTGGCAAAAGCTCTGCTGGCTGGCACTGTACTGATGCGATGGTAGCAGAGAATTCAATTTCTTTGCTGCCATCATAACTATAGAGTAGTCTCTAAAATGATCTAAAGCTTGTGTTTGATGCATCAAAAATCTTCATCCAATTATTATTATTATTATTAATGTATTTATGTCCTGCCTTTCTACAAAAGTACACAAGGCAGCATAGGCAAAAATCAATGTCATACCAGCACAATCCCAAAGGTTACCTGGAATACAAATCAAACTACCATCACCCTAAGCCATCTTCAGTCATTTCAGTAAACCAAAGAGCAGGAGCACTTGCAGGCAGGAGAGGGTGCTTGAGGTATTAGGAATGAAGCCCCAGCCACAACTTCATCCTCCAGAGCAGTCAGGAATCCATCAGTGTCTGCAGACAGACCATTTTAATTGGCCCTTCGCCCCTGCAGAGGTTACGCATCTCAGGAAGCCTAGATGCTACCAGTTAAGGATAATTAATTACAATTAAGTGTAATTGTCATCCCCAGATCACCACATCCTATCCCAGATGGACCACATCAAGCATGTGTGACATCACATGATCAACTGAGACAGGCCCATGGTGGTCAAGGAGGGCATGAAATTCTGAGCTGCTGCAGATGAGGGGGGCACAGGATGTGAAACCAGTACCACCCCCAGCAGGGAAACTGTTGGGGAGACAGATGGATATGAGAATTCATTTTAAAATTCATTTTTCAAAAAAATTAAAGGAGGGATATGAATGTTCTAAATACATTAAAATTTAGATTGCTCAGTATAATACTATCACAGTCTTCAGTACAGCCATCAAGAAAGAGCTTGCAATATGATGTGCTGAAGGTCCTCAGTGCCCCCACCAGTTTACTGTTAAAAGAGCATTCTTATGGTCAATGAATTACTTTCTAGATTTTCTATCCTTTCAAACTGCCGAGAAGAGCTGCTTGTAGTGGTTTTGATAGATGGCTTTTCTTTATTTTTTGCAAGATTTTTTATGCTTGTACTTTTGTTATTATTGCATTCATATTGTTTGCTGCCCTGGGAACTTTTGAGTGTGTTGAAGATGTGTGATATAAATTTAATGAATAAATTTATTGTGGAAGAACCCTCTAGCAATAGACAGTGGGAGAAGGAGATGCGTCCCCCTTTCTCAGCTTTTTTTTTAGTGAGCGGTGCTGCTGAAGAAAAGTAATGGAGCAAAGAAATATAAGAACCTGGAGTTTTTGCAGGGTTGGGGGTGAGAAGAGAACGTATAGAAGGGCCAAGCCTTACACCAACATTTGCCATCCTAGTGCCCTCCAGACAGACTACAGCTCCCATCCTGTTGGAGCCACATTCAAGCCATGCATTTAAAGCACTATGATAACATTTAAAGTATTTTAAGGCTTTCCCCAAAGAATTCTGGAGCTGTAGTTTCTTAAGGGTGCTGAGAGTTGTTTGGAGACCCATATTCGCCTCCCACAGCTGGTTCCCAGAGTGGTTTTTACAATAAGTCAATCTTCACATGGAGCACCTTGTGAGGGGAGAAGGCGGTTTTGTGAGGGGAGAAGGCATCTCCTAACAACTGAGTACTGTTGACAAACTACAGCTCCCAGAATACTTGGGGGGGCGTGCTTTTTTAGCGCAGTATTATAGCACTTTAAATGTATGGATAGCTCAGTTGGTTAGAGCAGGGTGCTGATCATGCCAAGGTTGCAGGTTCAATCCCTGTCAGGGACAGCTGCATATTCCTGCATTGCAGAGGGTTGGACTACATGATCCTGGGGGTCCCTTCCAACTCTATGATTCTATGAATTTGGCCTGGAACTGATGGGAGCTGTAGTCCAAAACATATGGAGGGCACCAGGTTGGCAAAGGCTGCCACACTACCTGAAAGTGAGAGGGCCACAGCTCACGCAACAAATGTTTGCTGGCTAAAAGAAGTACAAAAGTTGACTAAAAGTCAAAAGTTTGCACAGAGTAGAGGAGGACAGGGGGAGAGACAGGGAGAATATTTAAGCTGCCGGGCAAAGAGTATCTCTTTTTTTGGCAGGTCCCCTTTGACAGCGGTTTGACCTGCAGCAATCATCAGGTGATTACGTCTGGCTCTATCCCCCGCCGCCCCCAAGTCTCACCTGATGACTGCTGCAGGTCAAACCGCCGTGAAATGGGGCCAAGAATGAAGCATGCAAACAGACAAATCTAGACAGTTGGCAACCTCGTCTGAGGAGAGTTCCAAATCGATCGTCTGGCAGATCTGTGCCAGGTGTGGAAAGGAGCATCGTAGCGAGCCGCGCACTTGCCTGCATGCCAACCTGATCAGCACACACAGACTAGTCATCCTCACCCCAGCAGGGATGACTACCTCGTGGCACCGTTGTGCAACGGTGCCCTCGTTGGCTCTTGGAGGGCCCAGACACTTCACCCCACCGATCTGCTGACCTCCCTCATGTGGCTGCTGCTGCTGCAGTTCAGGTGAGGACAGGCGAATGCTGCGTGACGACCGAGAGAAAGAGAGAGGGGTGGAGAGATTTTGCACGCGGGGCGCGCCAGGGCGAATCTGCTACCTGGCAAGCGCGCTCGCCGCTCGCAGGCTTGCCAAAGCAGCAGGCCCGGCCTACTTATGGGAGGAAGAAGGGGCGGAGCGGGATGGCAGATTTAAACCTGAGAGAGCGTGAACTGGCTAGGGGCAGGCACGTGTTTATGTCTGGAAGGATGGCGGCTCCCCGCAGGTCGCAGCGGCAGAAGCAGGCCAGGAGGACACACACACACACACACACACACACGATCAGCTCCATCCTTCTCCACCCATCTCCTTCCAACGCGAAATTTCTAAGACAACAGATGCCAGGTCTCAACCTAACCCGGCCCCTCCCCTCCTACGGTGTGCCGGCGGCCTGGGTCACTCCGTGGGAGCGCGCTCTGCTCATGCGCAGAGGAATTGGCCACTCTCCGGCTTGATTTGCATGGTCCCGGCGTTTCAAAAATAGGTTCAGGGACCGAGCCCGGGCTCAAAATTAAGCCCTATCCGCGCAGCGGCTCCCATGGCGTCACCTCATTTCCCCTCTCCGTCTCCCCACTGATTCGCCCACAACGGCATGTGCTTGTTTGAGGAAAGGCGCGCGCGCATACACACACAGTCTCGCTGGCCGGCTCAGGCTAGATCCGGGGGGTGCTATGAGCCTCTGTCTGGAAAGCTTCCCCCCTCCATTTTCCTCCTTCCGATGCGCGCCATCATCCTCAAAATGGGAAAAAAAGGATGCACTTTTCAGTCCTCTTGGGGTGGCACGTCAAAGTTTACTTGGAGAAGGTTGTCAGGATCAAAGGCACTTTTAAGCCAAGGACATTGTATCCGAGACTTTTATTGTAGCAAGAGCTCTCGATGGGGATCAGATTTGGGATCGCGGCAGCAGGGAGGGAGGAACCGCCATAAAATAAAAAAGCACCTGACGAGTCTAGCCTAAAGTCTAGCTGTGAGCAGAAACTCCCTCCTACGGCAGAGTCAGAGAAGATGCAGGCCACTTCGTCAGCGGCAAATGTATAATTTTACATTTGCCCCTCTCCCCTTCTTACTATTGCTTTACCTGAATGCTGAATGTGACCAGCCTTACTACTTCTCGGCTCCCAAGTTCCCAGCCCCTCCCTGCCTTCCAGGCAACCGGCGGCAGGAAGAGGAACCCCTCCTCTCATCCTCTCCAAACCCATCCACAGAAATCTACCCCGCGCTTAGATGCACGGCTATAACGCGAAGGCAAAAGTGATCCCAGCCCCACCGAGAGATGCTGGGAGCGGGGGCTTCATTATCAGCAACGAAGCGAGGAGGCTTTTTTATTTTTGCATGGATCGAAACAAGCCTGTATTCACCTCCTACAGACATACAAAAGGGGGTGGGGGGGGAGGAAACATGCATGGTGAGGGGTGGGGGGGAGGTAAAGGACCCCGAGTAAAATTAGGAGTCATAACAGAAGAGAGGGTGCGAATTAAAGACGCATGGGGCGCAATGGGTGAAACAGAGCGAGGGCCTAATGCAAAACGGTGGTGCTGGAGAAGCAGATGGTTTCTAAGGACGAGGAACAATGTGGGAGATGTGCTCTGTTATATAATATATCTATATACAGTATAGGCATCCAAATAAACAACAGGAACACTGTCTTCCCCAGAAGACAGTGGTGTTCTTGTTCCAGCCTGGGAGGGTTCCCAACACTAGATCCATTCACGGAAAGCGTTACCTACACGCGATGCGCGCCGACCCACACGCCAATAATGCACTCTGTGGCGCACACGCACGCGCGCGCGCGCCCCGGACGCACAGAGGCGTCTTGGGCACATTGGGCGATCTGCATTCTCTCCCCTCCGCCACCGCTCGCCCCGCTCCCTCCCTCCTTCGCTTGTAATCCTTGCCACGGCAGGAGGGAGGGAGCGAGAGCATCACCCGGAGACGCACACGCTTTGCTCCCAGCCAGAGAGCACCGGCTCGCCCGGAGCCGCCGCCGCCACCACCACCATCATCACTCACCAGTTCTCTTGCATCCATTGAATCGCTTCATTCTCGTTGAACTGCTTCTCGAATTCGTATTCTTGCAGAGTCAACACTGACATGTTCATTGGAACGATCTTGGAGGGGAAGCTTCCTTACGCCTGGCTGACAATACAAGGTCTGCGAAAGGCCCCCCTTTCCCCCCCGCTCAGCGTCTCGTCAGGTATCCCCACCACACGGCCTCATCCACCACCTTCTCCTTTTCTTCTTCGCCCCTCTTTCTCTCTCTCAGCTATATCCTTGTTGTAGCATTGCTTTTATCCTCTTCCTATAACCTCCTCTCGTGTCTGGAGATCTCTCCTCCTCTCCGCTTCTGCAATCCACCCTGGGCGGAAAGGGAGCCCCGGCGGTCTTAGTGCCCAACCGTCGTACAGAGCCTGCCCAAGTCCATTCATTCCTGTTGGCTTTCCTAACTAGGCAAGCTTCCAAGTGTGGGTAGAAAAGAAACGGGTGGAGGGGCGGTGAGGCGGGGCTTGCAGCAGTGCGAAGGTTTTGCTTTCCTAACCATGCTGAGTGACACATGCAGGCGATTCCCACGCTTGAATACCGTGAAGGACCTTTCTGCTCAGTTTGCACATCAGATAACACCTTCAACCTGGCCTTCAAACCTCGGCAGCAACACACTTTTTAGGGATGTGTTTTAAACTTGTCTTTCCTCTCCAGGCCTTCCTTGATTCCTATCATTCCCCTAACTTGATTAAAATGTTGCTTGTGGGACAGCTTCAGTAGGAAAAAAAGCTAAGGAGTAAACCCTAAGTCCCTAAGACAATTGGATGGCACCTTGTATGCCATCCTTCCATAAACTCCTGCAGCCAAGCTGGTGACAAACATATTACTCTGCTTTCCTTTGGACCACATCAGTGAGGCTGAGAGGGGAGTCTTGTTGTCTGGGCAGCTCAAGCTTACACCCCAGGGAGGTCATTTCAGTGCTGCTAACACAGCGGTTCAACTTCACCCCTGGAGGTGCACTCCATTGTTTCTTGAGATGGACAGATGCCAACAAGTAAGAATGCACCAGTGCCAGGAAGAACCAATTGAGCAGGATCTATTTGGGGAATAGATCTGAGTAAGAGTCTCTGCGGAATATCTTCCTTCGGTATCACTGGCATTGTTATATGTGCCACATTATGCTCCTGGCCAGGGCAGGCCCACTCTTGAGGCAAGGTGAGGCAACTGCCTCAGGCAGCAGGATCCACAGGGGCAGCAGATCCAGCCTCCAGGTAATGCAGTGGCAGTGACAGCAGTGTCACAGTCCTTAGAGGCCAGATCTGCCCCCTCCTCAGCAGGCTCCCCTCTATAGGGGCCTCTCAGCCAGTAGGAGACATTGCTAGTCTCCTCCCACCCTTAGGGGTCTCCTGGATTCTGCACCCACCTTTTCCCCTCCCATTCCTTCAACCATCAGCTGGGGTTCATTTTATCCCCCCCTTTGTTCCCAGTGTAGATCTTTATCCCCAGCTTGATCTTGCTGTGTAGATCTTTACTCAACCCTCCTTCCCTGGTGAGGTGGTGCCATTTTGTGGTTTGCCTCATGTGTCAAAATGTCTTGTGCTGGCCCTGCTCATGGCATTTGTAAAGAAAATATTTTGACGTGGAGGCACCCATACTTTGGAGCACCCTGCCTATTCACATCAGGCAGGTACATTCTGGTGACTGCTACAAAAAAATTCTATTTAGGCAAGTCTATCCAGACATGTGGTTATGCTGACATCTATTTTAATCTGGTTTTTAGCAAAACCAACAACAACAAACCACATTCTTTTTGAAGGTTTTTAATGGTTGCTTTTAACTGTGTTTTACTGATAATTTCATTGTTTTATTCTTTTTGTTAACCACTTTGAGGGTTGTTGTTGTTTTTAACAACCAATCTGTGTCTAAATTTTGTGAAAAATAAATAAAATTCTTGTCATTTGTATTATTCCTCACTACCCTATACAAATGCAGTAGTGACTCTTTATTTTGTCTTGTCTTTTCTTTTTTAAAAATGATGTCATCATACAGCTTGGGCCAAGCCTACTCTGCTATGGGTGAAATGATGAAGGCAAAATACCCAGAATGAACAGAAAAAGACCCACAGTTTCCCCTTATTTCCGCCATATGTTCAGCACTGCATTCACAGCAAATAATGTCTAGGGAGCTACATAAGGAGATCCCTGCTGGATCAGGCCAGTGGCACATCTAGTCCAGCATCCTCTTCTCAGAGCAGCCAACGAGATGCCACTCTGCTCACCTTTGATTCTTAGCAACTGGCATTCATGGATGTAATGCCTCTGAAAGTGGAGGATACATAGATAGACATCATGCCTAGTAGATGCTGGTAGCCTTAGGCTCCACAAATTTGCCTAATCCTATTTTATTTTAGGGGACGCGGGTGGTGCTGTGGGTTAAACCACAGAGCCTAGGACTTGCCGATCAGAAGGTCGTCGGTTCGAATCCCCATGATGGGGTGAGCTCCCGTTGCTCTGTCCCTGTTCCTGCCAACCTAGCAGTTCGAAAGCACGTCAAAGTGCAAGTAGATAAATAGGTACCGCTTTGGCAGGGAGGTAAACGGCGTTTCCCTGCACTGCTCTGGTTCACCAGAAGCGGCTTAGTCATGCTGGCCACATGACCCGGAAGCTGTATGCTGGCTCCCTCAGCCAATAAAGTGAGATGAGCGCCGCAACCCCAGAGTCGGCCACGACTGGACCTAACGGTCAGGGGTCTCTTTACCTTTACCTATTTCATTTTATTTATTTATTTATTTATTTATTTTTAATTAACAATTTCAACTTAACAAAATATCAAAACATATCATATTCATTATTCCCCCCCTTTCCCGCCCCCCACCTTCCCAAGTATACAGAGAACAATATGTGTTGAGAAGTCAGAGAGAGGAGCTGAGGGAAGTCTTGGGGCAGGAAGGGGGGAGGGAGGGAGGGTACCTAATCCTCTTTTAAAGCCACTCAAGTTGGTGAAGCAATGATTCTTCAACATCAACTTCACTGTACTGGTCATGTTGTGTGGATGCCTGAAGATCGTCTTCCAAAGCAACTACTCTATTCTAAACTTTAAAATGGAAAGCGTAATGCTGGGCTGGTGGTCAACAAAAGAGGTTTAAAGACTGTCTCAAGGCAAATCTAAAAAAAAAAAAGAAGAAGTATAAACACAGACAACTGGGAAACACTGGCCTGCGAGTGCTCCAGTTGGAGAACAGCCTTTACCAAAGGTGTCATGGGTTTTGAAGACACTCGAACTCAGGACGCAAGGGAGAAATGTGCTAAGAGGAAGGCACGCTTGGCAAATCCACACCGTGATCAAATCCTGCCCAGAAACCAATATCCCCACCATGGAAGGACGTGTGGATCCAGAATTGGCCTCCACAGTCACTTACGGACTCATTGTTAAAACCGTATTTATGGAAGACAATCTTACTCGGCTATGAGTGATCGCGAAAGAAGAAGACATCACTACATCTTGTTTAACTAGATAGCCGCACATTTTACTGGGGAACCACTGAATTCAGGTTTGCATCTAAGTAATCCTGCTCAGTTTCCAAGCTGCACCAAGTGCCTACAATTGTATCCTTTCCTATCTAGAAATAGATTGTATCTTGTTAGTTTGTTTCCGTCATCAGTACTAGGTGAGAATCGCCAGTCCGCAGGCACTGTGGTAGCTAGGTTAGCCAACCTTTAGAACATTTTAAGCAATGTTCTGCTAGCCTTTTTTTTCAGAGCATGCTTATAGCACTTATCAGGAATCTGTTAATTGGTTCTCCAGTTCCAATCAGTCCGCCCGTGATTACCCCCCCCAAAAAAGGGGAGGGGGATTAGAAACATTGTTTCAACTTCACAAATGCTAATCTAAAGAAAATCTGTGCATGGGATTCCATTTCAGTTACCTTAGCTGTGTGAAATAAAAGTGTTGGATCTGAATAACCCCAGGGAGGATCCTAGCATGGGGGGGGGGGGAGAGAGATGCAATTGGGACCCCAAGAAGTGTCTGAGCTCAGGGAGGGTACAAGTATTTACAGGGAATATAGAGCTGGATCTAGGGGAGGGACCAAGCAGGTTGGCAGAGGAGTGTACTGCCCCTGTGGAACCAGACACCCCATCTCAGATACCTCCTGTTGTGGAGCTGCTCCTCAGTGCCTCCTGAGGAGAGGAAATTGGATGTCCCGCCTCCGTCTCCAAGGTCATGGGGACCCCAGCACCAGTGCAAACAAACTTGGTAAGCTCAACTCACTTGAAGGAGTGTCCATCTGCTTGCCCAGTCCCAGGACTCTGGCTGCTTGCCACACTAAGTGCTTCCTGCCTGCCCTGTCCTTCAAAAAGGATTCAATATGGCTAACCTGATCCAAAACACCCACCCACCTCACTCACACACGAAAACGAAGATCACCACAGCCAATCACAAGCAAACAATCACACCCTAGGCCAACCCCAACCTCTCTCACCACCAAAGGATCACAAGTGAACAACACAAGCAACGCTGACATCAAACTCTACATACATTAAACATAATAGAAACACCGCCACCCGACCCCACCCCCATCCATCTTCCCTCTCTCCACCCCCCCTTTCTTTTTTCCTTTTTTTCTTCTCCCCCTAATGCCTCAACAAATGAAACGGATTTGTTAAAATGTTACATGGGAAAAAAAATACGAGGCATTACACTTACTTCTGTAAAACAAGAAAATCCTTAATAAAATATTTTTAAAAAATAAACAAAAAGAATAAATCAAAACTGGGGGGGGGGGGGAAGGAAGGTGCAGGGGTTATGTTGCTTGTTGGATAAATATCTTAGCTTGAGTTAGGGGTTTGCCCAGCATGTGAAGACAGGCTCTGGGGGATTGAGTGCATGAGACCAATAGCGGGCCCAGTTGTCAAGAAGGTGGTTTATGTGCATGCTGTAGGGGGGAGTGAAGGGCAGGTAGGGCTTATCAACCTGGGAACGTAGTCCATCTAGGAGAAGGAAAAATCTGACCCATAACCTCTGCTGCTTTGCAGGATATCTCTGGGAGAAGAAAAGGATAAGGAGTAAACCCTTCACAAGGGTGGAGTCCCTAAGGCGGTTGCATGGCATCTTGTACACCTCCTTCTGGCAACTCCTGTAGCCAAGCTGGTGCCAAATGTATTGTTCTGCTTTCCTTTGGATCACAACAGTGAGGCCGAGAGGGGGTTCTTGTCGTCTGGGCAGCCCAGGACCTCCATACGCACTGCCCCAGCTGCTACCCAGGGAAGTCACCATGGTGCTGCCAGCACAGCCGTTTGACCATTGTCTCTCAAGACAAATGGATGCCAACAACAGCAACATGTATCTTTATCTTTATGCACCTGCTGAGTCTTGTAACC